GGGGGGGGGGGGGGGGGGGGACAAAAATGGCCGGTTTTTTTTCTTTCTTTCTTTGCTACGTTGACTTGGTACCTCGGCAAAGTCGTTTAAGAGAAGAGGAAAAGGGCCTCAAAATGGAAGCGGGAAGAAGGCAAGAGTTGAGACATGCTTGTGTATCCAACAACAAGGCAGCAAGATGGACAGAGAGGGGAGAGAGGAGCTGACAAGACTTATTGAAGATTTGACAATAGTTATCACTATTACCCGTGTATGTATCACACCACGTCCCGGGTGCGTGGAACTGAGAGGACATGGTATCTGGCATCAGTGTCAGTAGACAGGCTTCTTGCGGGCGCCTCCTTTTGAACGGGCCGTCTCATCTCATCACATCGTTGCATTGCCCACACCGAGAAAGAGAATAATAATAACCATCAATCTCTGCAGCTATCTGGTTTGCCCACCGGGTTATTTGTCAGGTTTTTTGTCAGGTTTTTTCATCAGCATCCACCTGTTCACTTGATGATTTGAAAGCCATCCCGCCGCCTGCCGCCTCCCGCGGAAGTTTGCCAACGTGCGCGATTCCACAGGGTAACCAACCAGTAGGAAACTTTGATTCACTTTCCTCGACCCAGGACCTCGGATATCGGGTCCTTGCAGGGCCCGGCTTCTTCACCGTCGCTCGGCGGTGGTGGTGGCCAGGACTTGGCTATCTGGGAAGCCTACCCGTCTACCCGCGGTTGTCGTGGGTTGCTGCTTCGCCATGCAGCGGACCTCGCCCAATATCACGTCAACGGGGCGCGATGCCTGCAGACACCATGCTGCTTGCTGTTGGTGATTCGAGCTCGCGTGATGGCTGGGAGGTCACGCAAGACAGTTTGAGCGACGGGTTGACCCAGCAGCCCTCCGAGAAGCACAGCCACTCATTCCCATTCGCTGAAATGCAAGACGTTCTATCCATCCGCAACCTTGATTGCTTCATAGACTGTATAGACCCCGAGGTTCTACGGGATTGTTGGCTGTGTTCGCTGTGTTGGCTGTCGGAGAGCGGTCTTTGACAAGGGCTCCAACAAACCTCAACGGCCAAAACCGCAAGCTGCCTGAGACAAGCACACGCCAAAGTCCGCTTTTTAACTGTCATCCTTACAGTGTATATTTGAAATCGTTGAGAGGGGAGTCGGTTCGCTCGAGTACTACCCTTGAGCAGGGCCTACCAACAACTCACGACAGCAGCCGCCCACGGTTAACATGTAATGACAAATAGCAAACCACGTAGTGTGAGTTTGCCCTTGATCTAGACACTTGCCAGGTCATTGCACCCTGGCCTATCTTTCATTGCTTCAACAATCTTTGAAGTCCTTGCAGCAACTGCCGAGGTTGCTTCACCAAGTGAGCTGAACTGACCGTACATCTCTACCAAGACAGAACCTAGAGGTCGTCCGCAAGCACAACCCAGCCGTCCTCCACGAGAGCGTCACCTCGGACCCCGCACGTCTGGCGAGGGTCAAGAGCTTGACACGGACGGACACGGGCCGGTCCGAGTTCCACCGGGACCTGGCCGCGGACGCGCTCCCACAGTGGATGTTCATCACCCCCAACATGACCTCGGATGGGGCACGACACCTCCGTCCGGGCCTCCGGAAGGTGGCGCCGCGCTTTCCTCGAGCCGCTCCTCAAGGACTCCCGGTTCGCTGACAACACCCTGGGTGCTGCTGACGTGCGTACGAGGGCCGCAACCGCGTGCTCGGGGTGCTGCTCGGCGACGCGGTGCCGCGGGAGCTGGCGGGCACGTCCGACGACGCCTTCTACACGCACTACTCGCAGATTGCGACCGTCGTGGCCAACTGGGGGAAGACGGGGGACCGGGTGCGCGCGTGGGACGGCGGCGAGGCCGAGTTGAAGCGGTATTTGTGGGACGGCTCGTACGCCGGGTACTTTAACACGCAACAGCGCGAATAAGAAGAAGAGGGTGATACCGAGGCCGAACTTGGACTTGGATAGGCCGGCGTCGGGACGGCCTATATTGCAGGGGGTCAAGGATGCGTGGGCGGGGAGCAGCGCGCCGACGTATTATGAGGATACCATCAAGATTCCGGATGGACGGAATCCTCCCAAGGGGTTCAAGCCGTGAGTGAGATTCGTCTAGGGGGTGAGTAGTAGAGCAGGATAGTGGTTGAAGCAGAGGCCATCACTCAAGTAGAGCAATTGAGCAATGTCGAGGACAGTACAGGACACCATCAAAGTCTGCATATCTGTCTCTATCTTGGTCGTACTGTATTTGCAGCAGGAACTCGGGTGCGGCGAAAATCAATGTGTCATGGTTGCAGCTCATGCAGTTCCCCTCAGCCACTCTCTCTTCCTATCCCGTATCCCCTTACTTGTATGACCATCTGTTTTTGTCTCGTGCCCAGAAAAGCAATCTCTGTTAATCTTCTTGCCTTCTACACAGCTCAGAAACCGGGCAGCTACTCTCCCCCTTGGACCAGCTTTCACCCAAAATGGCCGAGCCACGCCCAGCAGACGTCTTCCTCCTCAGCTACCCGCGGACCCTATCCAACCTGCTAACCAAGCTCCTCTCCGAATAGGAGCCGGCCTGGCAGCAGCTTTCCTATCCGCTGCACGACGCGTTCGTCTACGCACAGTCCAACCTCAACGACAAAATAGGGACGACCCGGGAGCGCCGCGGCCGCCGCCTTCGGAGGAGACGATCCGGACCTATCTCGAGATGCTCCAGGAGGGATATCAAGGTCTGCTGGAGTCGCGCGACGAAGGGCACCAAAAGGCAAGGACCGTTACTCTCTCGAAGCCTCCCCCGCCCTATATTGATGAAGAAGCGTTCCTTCCTATCTAGGGCCGTGCTCTCTTCCTCAAGACTCACATCCTGGACATTGCAGATCCCACCCTCTTCCACAGCGACTTGAGACGCAGCAGCACAGCCTGCCCGCCCGAGTTCACCTTGCAGTCCGCTAGCCGCCGCCGCGCTCTCCTCCTCCCCACGGACCAGCCCTACCCTACTCCCCGACGAGCTCCTCCTCTCCTTCACCCCCATCTTCCTCGTCCGGCACCCCGTTCTCGTCGTCGACTCCTTCTGGCGCGCCAAGGCCCTCACGCAGGCCGCCGACCTCCGCCGGGGGCAGCGGCATCACCGCGCCGCACGCCACCGGCGCGCGCCTCACCCGGGCCCTCTACGAGTGGTACCTCCAGGCCGGCCACCGCCCCGGACCCGTCATCGTCCTCGACGCGGACGAGGTGCTGGAGGGCGACACGGTGGAGCGGGCTGGCGGCGGCGATCGGGATGGACCCGGCGCGCGTCGTGCGCCGCTGGGAGGCCCGGTCGAGCGAGGGGCTGGATGCCAAGAGGAGGCGCTTCGTGGGGGATCTTTGGGGGTCCACGGGGATCGACGCGTCCAAGAGTGCGAGGCGGTTGGACGTGGAGGCCAAGTTTGCGAGCTGGCGGGAGATGTACGGCGCGGAGGCGGATGAGGCGATGACGGAGCTGGCTACGAGTCACATGGAGGACTACATGTGGCTAAAGAGTCGCAAGTTTTAGCCATACAAAGACCGAGGTACAGATATTGAAGGACAATTGCAGGTCTTGCTTTCCTTTGCCCTGCAAATATCTCGTTAAACCGTCAAAGACGCCCGGTAAGGATGCTCTAACCGACGGGAGATCGGATCGAGCTCGGTCTCATTGCCGAGATCGTCTCGATCCGACTGTAACCTGGGCAGGGACGTGCCACCGGAAAGCCTCAACCCGACGGCTACGCGAAGCCTTGCTCAAATGAATTTCATCATGAGTCAACATTTCCGAAATAACCCCCATTCGGTGCAACATCTCCGGTTTATTATGTAATTTATGTAATTTATGTAATTTAGCCATGGGTTCGGCAACCTCTCCTCGTCACACGTCGATCATTCCACAGCATTTCAAATTGTCTTTCAAATTGTCTCAGTTGAACCATCATCCTCATTTCGGGTAGTCCTTCAAGTGGAAGCTCTTGAGCTTCACAAAGGCATCAAAGCCAAACTTGCTAAGCGTCTGGCCGCGACCAGAGTTCTTCCACCCCGTCCACGCAAGATCCTACATCGCGCACAATGGTTAGCTCAGCCTCCCGTACAAAGGGCTCACTCCTTTCAACTCATCACGGTTACACGGCTCATCCCTCGCAAGCCTCGATCTCGGGTTCGGTCTGTCTCACTTACCGGGCTAGGGTAGTCGCACCGATTCACGAAAACGGTGCCGGCCTCCACGTCCTCGGCTAGCTCGTATCCCTTGTCCGTGTCCTTGGTCCAGATGCTGGCGGTGAGGCCGAACTCGCTGTCATTCATCAGCTTGATGGCCTCGGCGTCGCTCTTGACCTTCATCACGGGGATGACAGGCCCAAACGTCTCCTCGGTCATGACAGTCATGCTGTGGTCCACACCGGTCAGCAGCGTCGGCTTGACAAAGTTGCCCTTGGCCGGCAGGTTATCAAACGTCTCGTTGGCCGGCGTGGCGTCCTTGGCACCCTTGGACACCGCGTCCTTGACATGGCCCTCGATGGTGGCCTTGGACCGGCTCGAGATGACGGGTCCCACGTGGGTGCCCTTGTCGAACGGATCGCCCAGCTTGTAGCCCTTGAGCACCTTTTGCACCGCCGCGACAAACGCATCGTGGACGCTCTCGTCGACGTACACGCGCTCGAGGGAGCAGCAGCTCTGGCCCGAGTTGAATATGGCGCCATCCACAATCTCCTCGGCGGCCCAGTCAATGTCGACGTCGCCGCGCACGTAGGCAGGATCCTTGCCACCAAGCTCCAGGCCAACGTTGGTGATGCGGTCCGAAGCTGCCTTTTGCACGGCGAGGCCGCCAGCAACGGAGCCGGTGAAGCACACAAGCTCGATTCTGGAATCGCGGACAATCGCCTCCATGGTGCTTGGCGAGCCACAGTGGAAGTACTGGAGGACGCCCTGGGGCAATCCCGCGGCGGTAAAAATCTCGGATACGCGCTCCGCAACTGTGGGAGTCTGGGGAGATGGCTTGAGGATGACTGTGTTGCCTGCCAGAATTGCTGGAACAATGGAGTTGACGAGGATAAGGTAGGGGTACTGTTATCGTGTTAATACTCAGGGCCCTCGTAATGCACCTTCACCCAACCAAGCTGCTGGGTCAAGTACGCGGACAGACTCACATTCCATGCAAAGATTACTAGGACAGGTCCAACGGGGACCTTGCGGATGAAGCGCTTGAAGCCCTTCTCAGCCTCGCCATCGGTATCTTTGAGGGCCTCATCACTGATCTTGAGGAGATACTCACCCCGCTTCACGGCAGTGGTGACCTCCTTTCCGGTGAAGGCAATTGGTCGGCCCATTTGCACCGTGAGCTCCTCTGCGAGCTCCGATTCGCGGTCTGCGAGGCCCTTGAGGAACTTCTTGACAATTTCCTGTCGCTCCTTCAGGGTGGTCTTCCGGAAGCTCTGAAAGGCTTCAGTCGCCACCTTGGGCATCAGGTCTAGGTCGGCTGCCGATGCGCCATTGCGGGTGATGACAACCTCGCCAGTTGTTGGAGAAAGGGTGTTGATAACTTCCACGGACATTTTGAGGGCTATACTGCAATGATACAGATTGTTGATGAAAGGTTTCGGTTTGACGAGGCGGGGTTGTTGTCCTCCGCGTTGTCTACAGCGGCTCGGAGCGCGGCCCCACGTTCATAGATAGCTTCGGTTCGTCACACAACGTCATAGGGTACCAAGATATAGTTGCTTCCAGCAGCAGCACAGGATTATACAGTCTCCAATTAATACTGGGCTACATAGAATGGCCGTTCTAAGCTTATATACCAAATTCCAATACCTCAAGAAAATTATTGAAACCGGAATCAAATAGTCATTCTCGGCTCCAGGGTAACTGCTTCTTCGCCAACGCAATACCCCCCAGCACCATTCTTATCGATAAGCGCGGTCCGTGCTCGCAACTTTTTTTTTGAGCCAAGTGAATGACAGAGGACAAGCCAAACAACGAAACGATATCGGCATCATCCTGGCGAAAAGATGGCGCCCAACGCAAACGACTTTCTCGATGCTTCGGAAAGCGAAAACGACCACATTGACATATATGATTCGGAAGACGAATTCGCCAAGGGCGGCAGCCGAAGCACAAAGCGCAGGAAGCCGAGCCGCGACGACGACGACTCTGAACAAGCCAGGAGTGACGCTGACCACGACGGCGGGAGCGACGACGACGAAGATGACGACGGCGACGACGACGCAAAATCAACACAGGGCGAGGAGCAGCCCACCAAGAAACAGACGAAGCTGCCCAAGCTGCAGGCCGACCTGCCCAACGTCTCGCGCCCGCTCGCCCGCAAGAACCTCGTCGCCACCGAAAAGGCCGTCAAGAAGTCCGGCGTCGCCTACCTCTCGCGCATCCCCCCCTTCATGAAGCCCGCCAAGCTGCGCTCCCTCCTCGAGCCCTACGGCGCCATCAACCGCATCTTCCTCGCCCCCGAGGACGCCGCCGCGCACGCCCGCCGCGTCCGCGCCGGCGGCAACAAGAAGCGGACCTACACCGAGGGCTGGGTCGAGTTCATCAACAAAAAGGACGCCAAGGACGCGTGCGCGCTGCTCAACGCGCGCACGGTCGGCGGCAAGAAGGGGAGCTACTACCGGGATGACCTGTGGAACTTGCTGTACCTGCGCGGGTTCAAGTGGCGCGACCTGACGGGCCAGATCGCGGCGGAGGATGCGGAGCGGGCGAGCCGCATGAGGGCGGAGATTGGTCGGGCGAGCAGAGAGAACAAGGAGTTTGCGCGGAACGTGGAGCAGGGCAAGGCGATGGAGGGCATCGCGAGGACGGCGGCGGCGCGGAAGCGCAAGGCCGGGGATGAGGAGGGTGGTGGCGGCGCGCAGGAGGAGGAGGGGGAGGAGGATGGGCAGGAGACGAGGAAGAAGCAGAGAAACACGAGGACGTTTAAGCAAATACCCCTGGCCAAGAAGCAAAACGATACTGAGGAGCAACCCGAACGGGTCACGAGGGTGCTGAGCAGTATCTTCTAATGGCATGATGTATATATAATTAGCACTGAAAGCATATGGTTTACTCTTTCGAGCCCTGATAATTTCACATTTTGACAAAATGGACTGCGGACTTTAATGTACAACACAGGCGAGAATGTACACACCAACAAAACGCTCTACATGGTGGGCGCTTGCCGATGGCACACAATTTGGACGACAGGCAGAAGAGTAAAGGAACAAAAACTTGAAATAATACGAGAAGTAAAAAAACCTAAAATCTGCATTTATAATATTTGTCTTGTAATGCGCGGCTGCTCAGATCTTGTCATTCTTCAGTTATTGCCCCTCGTCACTCCACATTTTGCGATAAGATTTTTTCCCTTTTCGCTTATCAAGCAGCGGGGCAAATTTTTGGCTGGTGACTCGACTCTACCACTTTTTTTTTCTTGTCTAATTCTTGGGCATCATCCTTTCTCAAAACCCCATTTTCCTTCCATTTTCTTTTTTTCTTTTGCCATTTTCTCGTCATCTCCATAATGTCTATGGATCTAGATGATGCCCCCGTGTCCATCGGGGCCGTCGAGCACCAGACGGGCGCAACGTGAGTTTTTCTCCCACAGCAAATCACCCCGCAGTGGGCTACCCTCACCAAGGAAGAAATACCAAGACGAAATGGAATTTTCGGCTGACCGAGTGTGATATTCTAGCATCCTCTGCTGCAACTGCGGCGCACCGATCGACGGAACGACCGCCGCTGGCGCCCTCTGCTACGACTGCGTCAAGCTCACCCACGACATCTCCAAGGGCGTGCAGCGCGAGGCCGTCATCAACTTCTGCCGCGACTGCAACCGGTGGCTGCTGCCGCCGTCCAGCTGGGTCGTCGCCCCGCCCGAGTCGCGCGAGCTGCTCGCCCTGTGCCTCAAGAAGCTGCGCGGCCTCACCAAGGTCCGCATCGTCGACGCCAGCTTCGTCTGGACCGAGCCGCACTCGCGCCGCATCAAGGTCAAGCTCACCATCCAGGACGAGGTCCAAGCCGGCGTCCTGCTGCAGCAGAGCTTCGAGGTCCTCTACGTCGTCGCCACCCAGCAGTGCCCCGAGTGCGCTAAGTCGTACACGGCCAACGTCTGGCGCGCCTGCGTCCAGGTCCGCCAAAAGGTCCTCCACAAGCGCACTTTCCTCTTCCTCGAGCAGCTCATCATGAAGCACGGCGCGCACCGCGACACCCTCAACATCAAGGAGGCCAAGGACGGCATCGACTTCTTCTTCTCGCAAAAGAACCAGGCCGAGAAGTTCATCGACTTTCTCAACTCGGTCGTCCCCGTGACGGTCAAGACGTCGCAGGAGCTCATCTCGTTCGACACCCACACCTCGAAAACATCATACAAATTCACATACTCCGCCGAACTGGTGCCGATATGTAAAGATGATCTGGTCGCCATGCCCATCAAACTAGCTAAGCAGACTGGCAACATTACGCCTCTGGTTCTGTGCCACAAGATTGGCACGTCAATCTACCTCATGGACCCCCAGACCCTTCAGACCGCAGACATTAGCTGCCCCATCTACTGGCGCGCGCCATTCACCTCGCTGGCCGACTCCCAACAGCTGGTGGAGTTTATCGTCATGGACGTTGAGCTGACTGGTAAGACGAACGGCAAGTGGCGTCTCGGAGAGGTCACCGTCGCGCGCGCCGTCGACCTCGGCGTCAACGACAACACCTACTTCACTAGAACACACCTCGGCGGTCTCCTGCAGGCCGGCGACAGCGTCATGGGATACATGCTGACGGGCACCAACTTCAACAACTCCGAGTGGGAGGCGATGGAGGAGTCGCACGTGTACTCGTCGATGCTGCCCGACGTCGTGCTCGTCAAGAAGCACTACCCCAACCGCAGAAAGAACAAGAAGCGCAACTGGAAGCTCCGCCGCATGGGCAAGGACGAGGGCGAGCTTCTGCCCAAGAAGGCCGACCAGGAGCGCATGGACCGCGAGTACGAGCAGTTCCTGCGCGACGTCGAGGAGGACGAGGACCTGCGGGCCGCCATGGCGCTGTACAAGAACGAGAAGAAGCGCGAGGAGGAGGAGATGAGCATGGCGGAGACGGAGGACGGCGAGGACGACTCGCCGCAAGTCGACATGGGCGAATTGCTGGATGACTTTGATGAGCTTACGATGCAGGACTCATAGCTGCGGCCAATATAGAAGAAATAATGCCGTAAAGAATAGCTTGATTCCCCCACTCAAAACTATATTTCTTAGCGTCCCACTGGCTGTTCAGACAAATGACGGCATGGTGCTTGATGATGACGGCGTTTTCGTAGGTGTGGCGCGGATGGACCTTCTAAACTGATCTCTGGATTTTTTCCGATCCAGCCGTCGCTTGTTGAGCCCAAACGGATCGTCAAAATCCAGGTCGTCCTCATCGCCGTCCTCAGGAAGAGTCGGAGTCGGCGTATCAGCCTCCATCTTGGCAACTCGCCTTGGCGCCGAGGAGCTGAGCGCCGCGCTGGTCGACGAGGCGGGCGTGGCAAGATTGCGTGCGCGCACCCCCCCAGTCGCAGATACCGGCGTCGTCGCAGAGACACCATCATGTGAAGGGGGGCGCCGCCGCTGGGGCGTCGACGCAGGAGGCGGACGATGACCGACCGCGGCCTTTGTGAGGGACGACGACGACGACGAGGCAGCAGGGGCGGCCTGCGGCACCACCAAAGACCTGGTCTCCGCACGGGGTGCGTTCAGCAACCCTCTCAGGTTGGTGCCGACCCAAGGCGAGGAGGAGGTGGTCTTGTCCTGGGTGCGGTCCGTGGCGGCGGAAAGCAGGGAGCGCTGCTTAGAGAGCCGCTGGGCCTGGTCGCGGCGGCGACGGGCGGCCGAGGTGAGGCGGGTGCCGACGACGACGGGCCGCTCGACCTCGCGGATGGCGGCGTCGTTCTTGGACCTGGCGACGATCTTGAGGCGGTGGTACTCGGCGCGGTGCAGGTGCGTGGTGAAGCGCTGGGCGGTGCGCAGCAGCTCATCCTCGACGATGCGGTACTGGTCATCGCCGGCGGCCATGTACCTGTAAAGGATGGTCAGATCTTCTTCTCCTCTTTTGTGTTCTAGATGACCGCACCGGCGGGTGACTCAAAATAAAATGAAACAGAACAGAGAGAGAGACGCTGCAATGTCTGCGAGCACCCTGGTGGATAATCTTACCTTTCCTGCGGTGGCTCTGGGGGAGGAGATGTCGATGGGCTGCGCAAGGGATCTAGAGGCTCTTGTGTTAGTTGGGCGCTGTAATAAGGCTACAAGGAAAGATTCCTTTACCGGAAGAGTTGAACGCGGCGAGGACGGATGGGCGATGCCGCGCCGTGGCCGAGGCACCGCTGGCTGGGGTCGCGGCCGCGGTGGTTCGTCTGGGCGTCCCGATTTTGGGCGACGCGCGCCGTAGGCTTGGGAGTGATTCCGGCTGCGCTGCTGCTGCCCTCTTCCACGGTAATGTGCGGGCCATGACGGCGATGGAAGCCGCGGAGTTGTTTTCAGCAATAGGTGGCGGCTTTATAGCGAGGGAAGATGCAGGGCAGGTTTGTTTGCAGTGGTGGCCTGTACTGTATACTATTGAAGGTAACGCGTGCCTGGCGCGATTCACTCACTGGGCAGCTGCCTAAAACGATCGCTGCTGCTGCCACCCACTATTATAATCTATGTACGATACAACAAGAGAAGAAGACAAGCGAGTATACGGTGTAATTATTTTGAAAAAAAAAAAAAAAAAAAAAAAAAATTCAAAAAAATTGACAAAAAGTTTATTTCAATTGAAAACTGCTCATTTGTGCCGCTGCTCATGCTACCATGCATAGCGCCTGGGCCTCAATTACCTTCCTCGCAAGACATCCATCCATGTAGCTTATATACAGCCAACCCAATATTTAGCATCAATGCAATGAAAACCAATAGTCTTTGCCAACCCCTTCGGCGGAGCCTCAGATCTCACATTGTGCCAATTCGAGGCGGAATGGCGACATGGACGAGCCAGTGCCTCGATGCCGCCAAGAAGCGCAGCCAGATGTCGTGCTCGCGCCAAGAGTACCAAGCTTTCCTTCCCTTGCCTTGCGCCTCGCCTTGCCCGTCGGTAACCCAATACTGGCAAGTTGTTTTCCAACCTTGTAGATATGCTTAATTTGTCTCATGGCGCCACGGAGATCTTGGCGACCAGCCGAGGGGGAAGTACAGGTTTGGGCCGATATCAATGTAGTATAAGTAGGGTCTTGCTGCTTGGTTCCGAGCCCAGAGTGGTCGAGATTTAAAGTACGACTGATCAAAAAGATGAGTCAAGATCCGTCTCTCAAGATGAGCAAGGACTTGGACGGCCAGACGGTGCACGAGGTCCAGGACGATGGGCCGGCGCCCAGTCTGGTCGTGGACTGGACGATTGAGGAAGAGAAGAGGGCGAAGCGCAAGTACGTCCAGCACTGCAGAGCCCCCAAAGAGAGGCATATCAGCTAATACAAACACAAACAAGACTCGACTTGATCATCATGCCCATTCTTACCCTCGGGTTCTTCTGTCTACGTACGGCCAACCCCTCCTCACCTGGACTCCCAGGGAAGAACCTCCTCTTGATCTAACAAACTCCTCGAACAGAGCTTGACCGCGGCAACATGGCCAACGCCATCACCGACAACTTCATGCGCGACGTCCGCATCGACCAGGACCAGTTCAACGTCGGCCAGCAGATGCTCTCCCTCGGCATCGTCCTCACCGAGATCCCCGCCAACATGATCCTCTACCGCGTCGGCCCCGGCCGCTGGCTCACCCTCCAGCTCTTCCTCTTCGGCACCGTCAGCACCTTCCAGGCCTTCCAGCGCGGCTACGGCGCCTTCGTCGCCACCCGCTTCCTCCTCGGCATCACCGAGTCCGGCTTCATCCCCGGCGGCCTCTGGACGCTGTCCACGTGGTACACCCGCACGGAGACGGCCAAGCGCGTCATGGTGTTTTACTTTGGCAACCAGATTGGCCAGGCGTCGGCGAAGCTGCTCGCGTTCGGGATCCTGCACATGCGAGGGGTGGGCGGGCAGCCGGGCTGGTTTTGGTTGTTTGCGCTGATGGGCGCGTTCACGGTGCTGAGCGGGCTGGTGTTTGGGTTCTGTCTGCCGGACTCGTTCAGGAATCCGAGGAGCACGTTTTTGCCGCGTTATGAGTGGTTCACGCCGCGCGAGATTCACATATTGCAGACGCGCGTCCTGATCGACGACCCGATGAAAGGCCATAAGAAGAAGAAGATTCCTCTGGCCGCGTTCAAGAGAGCAGTAAGTTGCTTTGCACCAAGGGGGGGGGGCTTGCACTATCGGGAGAAGAGTAGATAGAATATGGCTAACACGTCTGGGCAGTTCCTCGACTGGCGCATATGGATTCACTTCCTCATCACCCTCGGCAACAACGGTCCCCAGAGGGCCTTTGACACCTACGCGCCCTCCATCGTCACCAGCTTCGGCTTCACCGGCCTCAGCAGCAACGCCCTCGCTGCCGTCGGCCTCTTCCTGCAGGTGCCCGTGTCCTTTACCTTTAGCTGGTTCTCCGACAAGTTGTAAGCTCTTCCCGAATCATACACCAGCACAAAAAAGTTACTGACATGTCCCCCAGCAACCGCCGCGGCGAGACCGTCATGGTCGGCCTGTTCGGCCACCTGCTCGGCTACATCCTGAACCGCGCCTTCACCCAGGTCAACTCGCGCGGCGTGCGCTACTTTGGCGTCATCTGGACGCAAATGTTCGGCACCTTTTCGCACCCGCTCAACATTGCCTGGCTCTCGTTGACCTGCCACGATTCGGAGCAGCGCGCTCTCGCCATGGCTGGGTGAGTTGGCCCGTTTTATCAAAACAACTTGTCCAGTAGGAATGAAGAAAAGCTAACCCTGTCGTGTTAGTGTCATTATGAATGCAAACATTGCGGGCATCTATGGCGCGCAAATCTTCCGCAGTGACGACAAGCCGCTCTACAGGCGGGGATTCAGCGTCGCCATTGCCATCTTATCCTTTGCCGTTGTCCTGTCCTTTGCTCGCTGGCTTGACGAGCGGATTAGATTACGTAGAAAGAGACAAAGTGTGGCAGCATAGGGATGCAACATTCACTAGCATCTAGCAACTAAATAGACAGCAGCTCGGCAATTTGATCATTGGTCACAGTTAGTCTTTAGTAGCCCGCGGGCCATGAGAAATACCTGAGAATAGTTGAATGAGATGAGGCATGAACCCAAGACCTGGCATTAATGTAAATAAAAGACCCCCGTCATCATTATTTGAGCGTCGAGTGTAAGTACTGTTCAATCATATAGCAGAGCATCATGTCGCTAGCATCTATTGCTGTTATGTATATGTACGCCTGACCCGGAGGGCCACCTTGTTTCGTTAACCCTGCTGTTCTGTTTTCTTACACTGGCAGCTCACGGCCGCCTTGAACAAAAGAAATAAATACCGGCCCATCCACGCCCGGAAATTACTGAGAAGCAACGACAACCTTGTTAATTGACGTGGCAACGTGGTTAATGTTGTTTGTGTTGAGACCAGCCATGCTGATACGGCCGTTCTTGGTCATGTAGATGTGGTACTCTTCACGCAGCTTCTGGACCTGGGGCTCAGTCAGACCAGTGAAGCTAAACATGCCAATCTGGTCGGTAATGTGGTTCCAGGTGCCTGGCGTGCCGAGGGACTCGAGTTTTGATCGCAGGGCCTTGCGCATATCAATGATGCGGCCAGACATGGTCTCGAGGTTGCCTTCCCACTCCTTGAAGAGAGCAGCGTCGTTGAGGACGGTGGCAGCAATGCGGGCACCGTAGAGGGGAGGGTTGGAGATCTCGGAGCGCTGGAGAATGGCGAGTTGGGAAGCGATACGGCCAATGGTGGACTTGGCATCGGGTCCGGGGCTGGTGACGACGTGGAAGCAGCCGGCACGCTCGCCGTAGAGGCCAAAGTTCTTGGCGAAGCTCTGGGCAATGACAAGCTCGAAGCCCTGCTCAATGAAGTAGCGGACAGCAGCGGCGTCGCGGGCCAGGTTACCGGAAGCAAAGCCCTGGTAGGCGCAGTCAAAGAAGGGGAACTGCTTCTTGCTGCGAATGATGGAAGCAAGCTCCTTCCACTGATCTAGCGTGGGGTCGACACCGGTAGGGTTGTGAGCGCAGGGGTGGAGGAGGATGATGGAGCCCTCGGGGGCAGACTGGATGGCGGACTTCATGCCATCAAAGTCTAGACCGCGGGTTTTCTTATCAAAGTATGGGTAATCGACAGTCTCGAGGCCGACATTGCGCAGAATCTGGTGGTGGTTGGCCCAGGTCGGGTTGGAGACGTAGACCTGGCGGGAGCCCTTGTAGAAGCGGGCGAGGAAGAGGGCGCCGAGATGGACAGCACCGGTGCCGGAGATGGTCTGCATCGAGGTTACACGACCCTCCTTGATGGCAGGGGAGTCAGCGCCAAGCATAAGCTCGCTGGCCTTGGAGGTAAACTCCGGGATACCGGCGATCGGGGCATACTCGTGGTTGAGTTCGGGGTTGTTTCGGAGGATTTCGTCGGCCTAGATCGGAGTGTGGCGTGGTGTTAGCTTGGAGGTATAAGGAGAGCTTGGACGCCGCCGGGTATACGGGCTAGGGTAACACCGCATGCCGACGCTGAGAAATGGGGGAAGGATGAAGGTTCTCCAAAGCAAAAGCTTGGCCTGGTTGCGTGCTGCAGTCGCACAAGACGAATTGAACATGCAGCTGAGGTTCGGATAGTCGGAGTGTGGTGGCGCAAGGCATGGCAAAGCATGTAGCGACGTGGTACGCAAGCAAATTGCAATAAAGCCAAAAAAAAAAAAAGCAAGAAGAGGAAGAAAGAGACGAACCTTTTTGACAACGGGAAGAACCCAAGGCTTTGCGTTGTTATCACGGTAGGCACCGATTCCCTGTGGGAAGCGCAAAGGTTAGCGACCGGGTTTGGAGAGGCATGTGATGGCGCAAACGGGGCAGGTGTATTTGACTCACCAGGTCGACCTTGAGGGCGCTGGTATCGGCCTTGTAGGCGCGGGCGAGGCCAAAGAGGGCGTCCTCGGGTGCCTGGGGCACTGAGTCGGCAGGGAAGCTGGAGATGGTTGTCATGGCGGGGGAGATGTGGTTTGCGATGCTGTTGAGGCGATCGAGGGAGGATGAAGAAGTAGAAGATGGGGCCATGATGGGCGGGATAGTTGTAATATGGTAATAATAAGTGAGGGAGGTCAGGTCTGTCTGGCAGGCAGGTGGACGGACGGGGTCGCAGGCGGGACTCTGCAAAACGGAGCCGTTTTTTTTTAGGCCTTGCTTAGTAGCTCTTTCGGCCTAATTGTTGGATTAATTTTGTAAATCCCCTGCTATTCTGTTCCAATGTCAGCCTGAGCTAAAACGCAAGATGATGCAGCTTGAGGTGTGAGTCCAAATGAGTCCAAGCAAGTGGCTGATCTTTTTTTAGGTGGGATGAGGGGATGGATGATGGGTGGGTGGTCCGCTGTAGTGGGCTGTTTGCATCGCTGAAGTCGGCTGTTTGATGGTCCGCTGCCAGCCTCTGTAACTTGCAAGTTATAGAAGCTCAGGGCGTGAAGTGAGTGATGGTGGGGGGTGGGGTAGTGTTGTAAGAGAATGGATAGCCCAGCACCTGATGCCACTAATAATAAGCCGCCCAGTCAGGATGTGTCTTTTGCTCAGCAAGAGGACTGCTACAGCATCGCTTGATGTGTAAGAAACAAGTCAGAGCCAAGAGCCAGGAGATTTATCACTTCGCATAAGTCTCGTCAAAATGAGGCATGTCCCAGCAACTCGCAAGGAGGCCTCCTCCCTCCCTCATGTCTTCCTTTTCCTGCGGTCCGTCCTGTTCTCGGTCCAAGGCAAGGACACCCGGCAGCGTTGGCAAATCCACAGCAATTGACCACTTGACCACAGCATGATCGTGAAAAAAGGGCCACGGACGCCGACCGGTTTACCCACGGGTTACCTGGAACCCGTAACCGGCTCCACGTTGGTTGTTTGCGGCCGCCGGCCTCCGCGCCACTCCGCCTGGACCCCCTGCTTGTGGCCCCCCGTAACCGGAACCTGGCGCAAGGCACAAGACCAGCAGAAAAAAAAAATGGGCTGTTTCCTTTTTGTCTGGTTCTTTTTCCCATTTTTTGCTTCCTTCTTCTTTTGGGTGCTTCCTTTGGACCTGTGGCGCTCACATCGTCTTTAACTTTGCGCGTGCTGCGCCCTCCGTCTTGCTCCGCTATCATCAACATGAGCGACTTCTCTGCGCCACGGCTAGGGAGGTAATTCAGAGTAGTTACATGCCACCGATCGACTTTGACAATTCGAGGGCCCAGTTTGCCAAATCCACAACACTGACAACTTTGTCGTGCCCAAGCATAATATGCTTACGGGATAAGAGTAATATCGTCGCCCCGCCGCGCTTGGGTTTTGCGGTCGATGACGCCCAATGGACAACCCGTCAAAGGAAAAAAAAAAGAGCCAAGCAGAAACAGGCACGCGCTCAAAAAAAGACAAGGAAGCCGCAACTTACGCTCTCCGGGCTATTGCCGTCTAAAAAACAGGGGTGCCTTTTGCTTTGTCAAATGCGCCCTTGGTATTGAGGAAAATGGCCTCGCGTGCTGTAGTAGCCGGCAACTCTCGACAAGGCTTCGGCGGTTCGGAGTAGGTTTTCTCGTTCGGCGTAATCGTGGTTTGTTTTTTTCCTTTTTTTATTCTGTTGCAGCGGCCGTTAGTAATCTTGTTCGTCCCTTGTTCATCCGCCATTTTCTGTTGTCTCCCGAGTGCCCAATCCAACCTATCCGGGTAGCGTCGCAAACGCGGCTATACTCGCTCTCACTGGCTGATGAGCAAAGCTGAGCCCGAATGCGTTGCAGAGCCCGCCGTGGCTAAACATCTACCAGGTGGCTACCTGAACATTGCCCTGGATCGCAACGCGCCTGCGATTCCCATGCGAATTTCAGGGAAGAAGAGCAGGAACAAATAGGGCGGGTGGAATGCGCGCCCCATTGGCGACAAGGACCGAACTCACCTGCAAGCGCAACAACCAACACGAGTTCGCGACCAATGGAAGGCAGGGTACGAGTAGAAAGGGAACAAGGGCGAGAGCAAATGCTTCTTTTGATTTCGAGAACAAAAAAATCGCAATCGCAGAACCCGGGGGGCGGCGGGCCACCTACCGCTTATAAGCTCACCCGAGCCCGTGGGGAAGCGCAGAAGCTCAGGGCGCCCGTGGCCTAATTTGACCGAGGCCCTTTCGGCTCTCACAAGCACTTCGGCTCATGTCGTCATGGGCTTTTTTTGTCGTCTTCTAACACGAAGCCTTTTGCTACATTGGGCGGCTCACATTCGTATTTTGCTGCTTTTTAAATTCGTTGTCTAACATGGTATGTAGTTACACGGCATCTTGCTGTTCCGGTTGGCATCGTTGGTCGGGGCTTCTTTCATCCTGACCTTCCCGAACCATCGCGACCTATGTATCTACTACCGATGTATGTACCTGGAAGAGCAGCCCAACCACCACATTCCGCCTCGACCTTATCCGCGTAAGAAAATACTCATGCAATCAACATAATGCCATTAGCTCACATCTCACATCTTTGCGCCACACCCTTGCCTCCCGCTGTGGATTCCATTATCCTCCAAAATACACCCTGACACTCAACAACTTGTTGTACCTGAATCCTCATCCTCCCTCACATGTGCCGCACCTTCACATGTCTGCTGCTACATTGAACGGATCAACTTTCCACATCAACCTGTCCAAAGTAGCAGGTCTTTTATTTCCATCCATCATGCAAAGACTGACTTCATCTTCCGCAACCAAAAAAAAAAACCAAAACCAAAAAAATCAACGCTTCTATGCATTAAATCATCTAAATCTTGGCTTCTAATTGGACCAGCCTCGATATTCCTACATTTTGCCCGTAGCAGCCCATCCGCTTCATATTATGAGATCCCACAGCACCAGGAACGCGCACAGTCCGCTCGCCGCGAAAAATGTGTACCGCGCCGTGCTCGGTCGCTGCGCCGCCTTCTTGAGCTCCTTGTTGCCGCCACCCACGTTCTCCGCCGTCGACAGCGAGTCCGCCACCAGCTGCTCGATGTGCGCCGACTGGATCGCCAGGTTGTTGACCAGCAGCGACTGCAGCTCCGAGATTTCCACCAGCGACCTCTCCGCCGTCCTATTCCTCACTGTTAGCAGCCTGCGTAAAAAAACTTCACGTATCCTCCCTCCCCCACGTACTGTACTTTGGCGAGCGTGCTCTCGTAGTGCTTCATCATGTCCCGGTTGCCCTCCTCGAACATCTGCACCTGGTCCTCCGTCAGGCCCTCGCTAGCCGCCGCCGCCGCCCCCCCGCTGCCCGTCGTCGCCCGAGCAAAGTCTGCAAAGTCCGCCGCCGGCGGGGGCGCCGCCAGGAACCCGCGCGACCGCTCCAGTTCCCGCGTCAGCCGCGTCTCCATCATGCCCTGCTGCGTGCGGCAGCAGCCCTCCAGGCGCTGCCGCAGGAACCACAGCACGGCGTCGCGGTGCGCCTCCGTCTGCCGCGCGCGCCCCTCGACCGCCGCGCGCTCCGCGCCCGCCGCGCTGCCGGACGCCCATGACCCAAGCGTACCGAGAGCACCGCCGTAGGCCTTGCGCGCGACCGCCGCGGCCGTCTCCCGCCGCAGCTGCTCCGCGTCGTCCACCGCCCGGATGCTCGCGTTGAGCTCCCGGATCATCTGCTTCGCGTTGGCGTCGACCTCCTCGCGCTCGCGGTCCGTCAGCGTGCCCCGCGGCTGGCCGGCGCGCGGCTGTGTTCGTCGGGGCTGGGCGGTCGATAGGTAGGCTTGTCGTACATCTCGTAGCTCCTTGTGCAGTGTGGTGATGTGTGAGTTCTAAAGGAAAGGTGGCGACATTGTTAGTAGCTGTTAGGGCATTGTTACCCAGCTTGCGACGCACAATTCTGTATGCTTCTTTGAGAAAGCTGTCTGCCTTGTCAATGTCGGCTCTAGCTGTTGCCGGTGGAGCGTTGTGCTTGCTCAGCAGCTCATTGAACTCGGCCGTGCGATTGCCTGTCGGTGGAGCTAAAACCTCCATGGTTTGTGATTCGCGGTCAACGAGTTGCAGAGCTCGAGATCCCGACTGTAGGCGTTGATGATGAGTGAATGTCTGGTGCTAGGGGTTCGTGGCCTGAACTTTAGCTTTAGATTCGCGGATCGCTAACCTACCACGTCAGAGGCTCAATTTAGCTTAGTCATTCCCGTGCAGGTTGGCAGAACTGCGAATACTTACAGATGCTAAACGAGGAAGTTGAAAAAAATATAAACAAACAAACAAATTGATAAATAGATGGATGAAAATTATAGCAGGGTTCTATTCCAAAATCAGTATGATGCAGGCGTCTTGTGACCTGCCGTCGCTAGAAATTTCTCTAACTAAGAGCAGACTTGTAAGCTAACGGACCTCCAACAGGTAAAGGCAGGGCTAACAAGGGACACTTACACGAATAACTTCGCCTGGACGATAGACCGATGAACCATTGGGTTTCTTCCTACACAAACTCTACATAATGAACACAAGAACGGAAATATCACAAAAATACTGTAGTCGGCTATAAAACCAGGATATCCCGCTGTCCTTCTCCTTTTCCCCTTCCACCCTCTCTTCTCATCATCACTACATCCCCACCAACCAGCCTTTCCGCTTCCTTCTTCATCGCCACTTTTCGTTTTCGTCGTTACCGTTAAAACCACAAGTCACAATGAAGGCTGCTTTCTCCCTCCTCTACCTCATCGGCCTCGTCGTCGCGTTTCCTACCGACCTCGCCGCCGACCTCGCCGCAGAGATCCCCTCCTGCCCCGTACGTCGTCCACCGAGCCCAGTAGTTCCTCCGGCATAGCATCTCATGTAAAGCTGACCTTCTTTCAACGCGCAGATGGACTGTGTGATCCCGGCCGTTGGCCAGTCGGGCTGCGAGCTCCACGATCTGCTGTGCATGTGCAATCCGGAGGCCCAGGCCAAGGTGCGGAACGCGGCGGCGCCCTGCTTCGCGAACTGCGTCGCCTCTGACATAGCCGCTGCCGAGGGATTCATCAGCTCGGTTTGCCAGTAAACACAGCTCGTGCGCAGCGGTCTCCGGCGTCGTCGCCAGCGTCTAACTGTGACGACCGGCTCGTCAGACAGCACCTCGTTGGCCTGGATCAACCTGACGATCGCGACCATCACCACGAACGCCACTCCATGGGTTTATTAGTCTCCTAATGCGGCCGCTGGAACTGTCGTTGGTGCCCTCGTTGTTGTGGCTCTTGATTTCGTTTTACACAGGGAGTGTCACGGCCACGGCTACGCTGGCTATTGAGATGTATTAAAAGCTAGCATTCTACCAGTACTGGATCTTTTAATAATTTAAAGTAATTATTCCCTTTTAGCAGCGACTATTTTACTGTCTTCAACGGTAGGACACGTGTATACAGAAGTGATGTCAGTACTAGACAATCCTACTTATCGGGAGAGATTTGGACGACGGTACACGCACCCTTCTGACGACTTTCGCCAAGGAAGAAAGCGTGAATAATACTTTCATTTCACTAGTCATAAGTCGTGACTTATCAATGTGCTCTCGGAGTCCCCGACTTGTTCGGCCTCGACGCCCCGCATTGCTTCCCGGCCGACCGGGACTCAGCGGAGACTGATCCCACACCCTCGGAAACGAAACGCAGCTGCGTTGCTGGTAAGGCTGGGCTCTCAGCCTTTAGGTAGATATCGAGTAAGTTGTCCGCGGAGTTGAACTTTCTCCACGCCCTTTTCTATGTCTGCATGCAATCAGCCCCGCGGGGCTTGGCCGTAACTTATTATCGCCAATTATCGCCAAGCACCGGCACTTGGCCCGACTAGCGTCAAAGGTTCCGTTGAGGCCAGGATGCCATGAACCCAATTCGCTGGGCCATTTGCACCATGTGCGGCGGATCACCGACATCACTGACCCGAAGCATACAGGACGAACTTTCATCTCGGACGCCACTGCTGAGCCGCCTGGCCTTATAAAAGCCCCTGAACCGTCCCTCTGTCGGGTTCTCAGACTGGAATGTTGACATCCCATTTACCAGTTTTCAATTCTTGTCGCCGATTCAGCACTGCCCTCGACACAGAGTTCTACTCTTGAAACGAAAGACAGCATGGCTACCCAGTCCCCCAATATCGATTACCAAGCGGAACTCGATGTTCTAAAACAAATTGGACCGCGGCTGACTGGCAGTGAGCAACACAATCAGCTCATTGATCACATCGAAACCCGCCTGAAGAACATCGGATACGACGTGCACTCCGATCCATTCTCCTTCCAATACATGCCCCCCTTCACCAGTCCGGCCACCCTCAAAATCGGCGACGAATCCATCCACATCTCCTCTGTCTTCCCTTACAGCGGCTTCACCGCGCCGGAGGGCATAACCGGCAAGCTCGTCCGCCTGCGCGGCCCTCTCCACCGCTGGTCCTCCGCCCGCGACCAGATCGCCGTCGTCGCGCTCACCAACCCTCCCGTGCCCTTCTCCGCCCTCGTCTCCGTCTGGGACGGCTCCGCGCCGTGGGGCCCCGAGAACGCGCCCCTGCTCCCCGCCACGCTCCTCGGCGCCTCCATCGCCAAGGCCCGCGCCGCCGGCGTCCGCGCCGTCGTCGTCGCCTGGGACGCCGCCAGCATGTCGCCGGCCGCCGCGGCCAACCAGTACCTCCCCTTCACCATGGCGTACCAGGACCTGCCCGTCGTGTTCGTCGCGGGCACCGCGAGCGCGAGGGTGCTCGAGGCGGCCGCGGACGAGACGGCGACGCTGACGCTTCCCTCTCCCGGGCTCCGGCAAGCCTCCTCGCGGTCCGTGTGGGCCGTGGCGGAGGGCGAGGAGCCAGGTGAGACGGTGCTGGTGGTCACGCACACGGACGGCGTCAACGTCGTCGAGGAGAACGGGCACGTCGGCGTGCTGCAGCTGGCGCAGGACGCGCGGGCCAAGAAGCCGCGCCGCACGCACGTGTTCGTCTTCGTGTCCGGGCACATGCGCATCCCCGCCGTCTCCGAGCACGGCCAGGCGACGTCCAAGTGGCTGCGGGATCACCCCGAATGGTGGCGCGACGAGCGCAAGGCCGTCGCCGCGCTCGTCATCGAGCACCTGGGCGCCATGGAGTACGTCGACGACCCCGCCCGGGGAACCCTCGAGAGGACCGGCAAGCCGGTGCCGGAGCTGCTGTACGCAAACACGCCGCAGCTGGCGGCGCTGCTGGGCACCGAGTGGACCGGCATGGAGGCGGCGCCCGGCCAGACTCGCATTTCCCGGCCGTCGGCGTACATCCAGTTCGGGGAGGGCGAGCCGCTGGCCCAGGCTGGCATCCCGAACGTTGCTCTGGTGACGGCTCCCATATACTTGCTCGCGGCCTGGGAGGGGGATGAGGGTGAGTTGATTGAGCTTGCCGGCCTGACGAGACAGATCGATAGTTTCCGCAGACTTCGTGAGCATATCGACGAGCTGGACACGGCGGCACTGGGTAGCCCTGTCGCGGCGGGCCCGATTCAGTACTTCACGCAGGGAATCACACTGGCTTTGGCCGCTGCAAAAACCTTTTTAGGGCGACAGTAGATTTTGGCTGCATTGTGAACGGCACAGATATCGCAATCTCTGGTCGGGTGTTTCAACATAACGCACGCCGCCTAACCTGAAATTTGAGTGGGTATGCTGATAAAGAATTTGATTAATACTGTATCTCTATGTTCCTCTGATATTCAGTATTGTGAAGCTGCCGTGATGGTGCTGACCGGCAGCTTGATGAACCCGGCACTCTGCACGCTAGAATTTTAAATAAAATTCAATTAATCAGGAAAGAGTTTGTATAAATAACAAACCTAGTTGATCACAGGCTTCCAGCCCATCCTGGGCACAACGCCATCGACACGTTCGTCACGAAGGATGTCGGCGCCAAGACGACCAGTGACGACACTCTGTTCAAATTCTCTACCACGAACATAGAATGGGTATGACAGGCGCGGTCTTGCATTCGCTTCGCCAAGCTGTCCTGTTCCGTCAGCCACACCGGTTTTTGGCTGCCAGATGACGCGGCTGCTCCCTGATTTGGTTGACTTGGTGGGTAGAAAGCCAGACAAATCTCTTTCCAGAGACAAGTACCATTTGCGCTGGTGAACACTACCGATCGAGTTTGTCGCTCCTTTATATGCGTTTGTGCGGCGCACCTCGTCGTCCTCCAACTCGCGCAGCTCTTTTTCTAGCGCCGACATCGCCGCGGCATCTTCTTGCGCAAGCTGGGAATTGGTTGCGCGCACAACGTCTACATCGGAGCCCTGTCGCTGATCTACCTCGTCGGAACTTGTTTCTGGCTCATTTGCTTCTGCGGGCTTGACCCCTCGTCGGCGGCGTCGCCTTGACTTCTTGGTACCGCTGGCTTTGGCACGGCCGGCAGCGTCCTCCCCCTTGGTGAGGCGTATGTATATCACATATGGATCTGGGAGCTTGGTGCCATGAAGACGGATCTTGATTTTCCGAGTCTGAAAGGCGGCGTGTAGCAGAGACTGTTGTGTCGCCGCTGGCGACGATTCCACTGTAGTTTCGTCGGCGGACTCGCCAGAGTCCGGGTCGAGGGCAGGAGCATACTTGCTGCGACGAGGCAAAATTGAATACGTGCCTGTATCCCATATCATAAGCGAGCCCGTGTCTGGAGAGGCGGTCTCGATTAAATGATTCTTTGCTGGGTCAACCTTCTAGACGTGTACTGGGTGCATAGCCTACTCACCCATAACGAGTGGATGCGCGTTTCAGTGGCATTACGATTCAGTCTCATGCTATTTGGATCCCCAGGCAAGCCATACATGATGGCCCAACTGACACTACTTGTTTCGTTGATCTGCAACCGAAGATCATAGTGGGTTCCAGCGATGGGGTGGTCGTGTTGATGAATGACAAAATGCGCGCCATGCGCAGAGCCGGCATTGGCAGAATAGAGGGCAGCATATCTGTCAATGGAAAGCCTGGGAACACTGCTGTCCTGCGGCCGCCGTGTAGTAAATCGGGCTAGATGCTCCGAGAAGTGAGTGAGGTGATCATCGACGACGGCGGCCCCGGATTCCACGGCCGCGGCAGTGGGCCTCGGCACGGAGGAGCTAGGGTCGGGGTTTTGGACAGCCCCAGGGGACGATTCGTCCAATAGCAGGGAGGCTTGGTAGCTGGAACTAGGGGCGTCCAAGGTCCATTGGAGATTTTTCTTCTTGATGAAAGGGTTAGATATGAGAAGCGGGCTGGCAGGCCGTTTGCGGGGAACTGAGGTATGCATGGATTCGAGTTATCGTGGAAGCAAACGCATGATTGCGAGAAAGTGTGAAGATGGCAGCATCAATAGTGAGGAAGAATTCAAAAGATGAATGAGTAGATTGGTAATTGCGATGGATGAGATGGATATGTGATTTGATTGTCCGTGACATATGCGTTTTCAAGTTGGAGCTGGAATGTAGCGAAGGAAAGTTTGGGGCAGGTCCCGGAACGGTAGCGATAGCTGGGTACCTACAGTACAGTACATACATACAGTAGATACATACAGTACATGCGTAGCTGGAACCCTATGTAGGTACTCAGTACATTGCTGAGTCAGGCGAGTACGCAGTTGCTTGCACTGCAGACAACAACCGCAGCAGCTATTTCTAAAAGGACAACCATGGGAATAAACAAAAAGAGGCAAAGAAGTATTTACAGATCTTGATGCACGTTCCCTCACATCCTTCAAAGACCGTCGCGTCGCACAATAAAACCCCGGCTCTGTACGGATACATAAACGGCGGCCCACATCCTCACCAGCCGAGCCAGTCTTTGCCTCGGCACAGGTGAATGAGCGACAGTCTAACCAACCTTGGGCAGACACCAAGAGGCAAGCAAGCAAGCAAGCAAGCAAGGCAAGTCCAGTTCGTTCCAGTCCAGTCCAGTCCAGTCCAGTCCAGTCAAGTTCACTGTCCCGTCCGCCCCAGGTTTTTTCCATCTCCCACTTCATCCTCCCACACATCGTCATCCATCATCTGCTTTTGGTCCAGTCGCCAACTCGATACCCCTTTTTTCTGCCCAGCGACCAGCGACAAGACCCTTCACCTTCGTCTTGCCGACGTTTGCTCACCCGCTGCAGCCGCGCGCTCGGCCTCCGCCTTCGGTTTCTCGGTCCGTCCGGCCCCCGCCGCCCTGTACCAGTCGCAATCTGCCGACCTCCATATCTGATTTCTAAAAAGCCCTGCTTCCCACCCAACGCGACTCGCCGCTCTCGATTCGCCTCCGCTCCCCGACAGGCTCCGGCTCCCGCGGTGACCCGTCATTTATTCCTGTAAATTTATCTCGTCATTCTTCTCCCTTTCAGCCATGGCCTCTCCGCCCAAGCCCTGGGAGCGCGCTGGAGCCGGTTCTGGCGCTGCAGGTATGTGAAGTTGATTTTTTCTTGCCTCCGTCATCATCACATGCTGACAGCCACACTCGTTGGACAGCCTCGATACCCGCTCCAACAGCAGCTGCGACACCGATCACGACGTCGACCGCTAGCACTTCCACCGCGGCGCCTCCCGTACCCGCCCTCCCTTCCTCTCTCGCGTCAACAGTCAACCAAAACGCCTCGGCATACAGCCGCCCAATGGGTACCATGGGTACCATGGGCACCATGGGCACCATGGGCGCATCACCATACGGAGGCTACGGTACCGGCTACGGCAGCGCATACTCGTCACCTTACTCTAGCCCCTACTCTCGCTTTGGTGGCATGGGTAGCTACGGAGGCGGCATGTATGGAGGCATGGGCGGCTATGGAGGCATGTACGGTGGTGGCATGTACGGTGGCATGGGTGGCATGGGAATGAACGATCCCAACAGCCTCACCAACCGCTTTAACAATGGCACCGCCGCTACCTTCCAGATGCTCGAGGGCATCGTGGGGGCTTTTGGCGGCTTCGCACAGATGCTGGAGAGTACATACATGGCAACACATTCGAGCTTCTTCGGTGAGCACCTCCCTTCATGACTCTATCTATTTCATCACTAACAGTTGCCTTGCAGCCATGGTTGCTGTCGCTGAACAATTTGGAAACCTCCGTGACACTCTTGGCTCGATTCTTGGCATCTTCACGCTTATGCGTTGGATCCGCACACTTCTGGCCAAGATCACTGGCCGTCCCCCTCCCGCCGATGCCACCGCCCTTACTCCCGCCGCCTTTGCTCGATTCGAAGGCCGCCCTGGTCCCGACGGCGCTCCCGGCAGTGCTCCTCGTGCCAGCAAGAAGCCCTTGCTTTTCTTCCTCCTCGCCGCCTTCGGCCTGCCCTTCCTCATGTCCAAGATGATCCGCTCCGTCGCCGCCAACGCCGAGGAAGAAGAGCGCCGCATGCAGGAGCAAGCCCTGGCTGCGCAGCAGCCCATGGACCCCTCCAAGCTTGAGTTCTGCCGCCTTCTCTTCGACTTTGCGCCTCAGAACAACAATGGCATGGAGCTCGACGCAAAGAAGGGTGATCTCGTTGCCGTCCTCACCAAGAACGACCCGGCCGGCCAGCCCAGCGAGTGGTGGCAGTGCCGTTCTCGAGACGGCCGACAGGGCTATCTTCCCTCCACCTACCTCGAGGTCCTCAAGCGCCCTGGCCAGGACGTTAAGCAGATCAAGGCCGTTGCCGACAGCACCCGCACAAATTCTCTGACCAGCGCCTCGGAGGAGGGCAAGAAGGATTACGTCTCTGCTGACGGCATGCAAAGGGGACACTTTTACTCTTGAGCGTCCCGCAACGACTGCACACGGGATGAAGATGGGCGATGAAAATTTCTGAATAACTTTCTAGTCTCACATGATGACGCGCTGTATTTTTTCTTCTCTCCAAAGAAGGGAGTCATGTTTTGGTTGGGCGACTGGCGTTTGGGTTTCTTTTCTCTTGGACAACTTAGGCCTAGAGTCATATTTTCTTCTCGATCAACTTTGGCGCTGATGCCAGCTTTTCTTATTTCCGTCTTTGACTGCATCTATAATCAAAATCTCATGATAAGCGACCAGCATGTCTTTTACCATAGCAGTAAAAGAAATTAACTGGTATCAAATACAGCCCATTTTCCCGTTAAAACTTCCCTTTCTGTGTTCAAGTACATGTACAAACTCCTCTTCAATGCATGTTCTCTATTTTGGTGCCTCCATGATTTCACACAACATCGCGCTGCTTTTGTTTAACCTTCTGCCTCGTAAGCGTTGGACTTGTGCTTGGGCATGAACTGGAACCCAGGATGGCAAGGACCCAGGAACATTTCCCTACACGCAGAAGTTTTGTTAGCAAACGTCTCCCTCTCTCGTCCCACACATCTCTCTCCAGGCTTTTGCACCGGTGCGGGCGGGGGCGTCCGTGACAACTTACGAAATCTTGATCCAGTCCTTGTAGTTGGGCGACGCCAGCAGCGTCTCGAGCTCGTTGCGGCCGCGGTACGCCGGCGGCCGCTCGTTGATGCTCGGCGGCAGGCGCTCCAGCAGGCCGATCGGTACGTAGCGGTGCGCGAAGCTCAGCCACTCCAGCAGGAAGCGACGCGTGAAGCCGAGGCCGAGCTCGTCCGAGCCCCAGGCCTCCAGACCGTAGCGCGCAAACTTCTCCACGTACGCGAGGCGCTCCGACGCCGACTTGTCCAGGTACTGGCCGGCGGCGATCTCCTCGAACAGCCAGGGCTTGACGAGCGCGCCGCGGCCGACCATGACGGCGTCGACGCGCGCCTCCTCCACGTGTCGTTGGTAGTCGACGTGCGAGTAGCAGTCGCCGTTGCCGAGGAAGAACATGCGGCCGGCGGCGGCCTGCGTGCGCGCGTCGGGCTCCGCGGCGGTGTCGGTGAGCGCGTCGCGCTGCTCGTTGTAGCTGCGGACGAGGGCGGCGCACTCGGCAATGTACCCCCAGTCGGCGAGCTTGGTGTAGCGCTGCTCGCGGCTACGGCCGTGGAGGGTGACGGCGGCGCAGCCCGGCGCGCCGAGGCGGTCGCGGTGCTCGCGGGAGCCGAACGGCACCTCGCCCGAGACGGCGTTCATGCCGCGCACCATGCGCTCCAGCTTGCCGTGCGCCTCGAGCAGCGCCGACCCGCCGCCCGTCTTGTACACCATGTCGATCGGGCAGCCGCAGTTGAGGTCGATGAGCCGCAGGTGCGGGCAGAAGCGCGCGAGCGCGCTCGCCGCCTTGGTCGTCACCCAGTGTGCGCTGCCCGAGATCTGCGCGCCGAACCGCAGGTCCCGCGAATTGTCGTAGAGTGGCACGGTGCCCTCGTACCGCGGCGGCGCAAGCTCCGACTCGTGCGCCTTCATCAGCGTCCAGTCGGCCTTGACGCCCTGCAGGAGCGGCATGCCGAGGGCCATCTCCGAGTACGTCAGCTCGCACCCGAGCTCCACGCACAGTCGCCGGAAGGGGAGGTTACCCTGCGTCGTCAGCGGCGCGAGCGTCGGCGTCTCGGGGCCAAAGTACAGCCGTCGCTTCTCGGACGGCAGGAACGGCGGGTCGACAAACCGCGCGCGGTTCTCCGCGGCGGCGGCCTCGGCGGCTGCTGCGGCGGCGGCGTCGTCACCGCCTGCCTCGGCCTTGCGGCGTTGGTGGTTCTTGTTGTTTGACTTGGACTCGCCGTCGAGCCAGGCAATGTACTTCTCGGCGTCGCTGAAGTCGAGACGCTTGCGGTTCATATCAATCTTGATAGACATTGGCACGACGTTGACGACGCCGGGCCGCGAGTCGTCGGCGTCGGCGTCTTCAGTAGCGTCGCCATCTTTCTTGGAGTTGTCGAGCAGGACCAGTTCCTTGCGGCCGTCCTCGCGCTCGACCTCGTCCATGTGGCTGCGCACGAAGCGGCACTTCCAGCCCGACGGGCACCGTCCGTACTTTGCAAACACGGGACACTTGCCCTCGAAAGTCTCCACGTCGCCGCGGCGACCTTCAGCAAGGTACTTGCGGACGTCGTGGCACATGCGGCAGCGGTCACCGAAGCGGCACTCGCGGGGTGAAAACTCGGGGTAGAAGGCGCGGCTGTTGCAGAGGGGCAAGGCGTCGTCAAACTTGCCAAAGGAGCGCTCCGTGTTCTGACCCTTGGCCTTCTTCTTCTTTCCATGCTTGCCGCCGTCGCCGTCTCTGTCGTCGCCGCCTCTGCGACCCTCGGCAGCGTCGTCATCGGCTTTGGCGTCCTGAGCCTCCGCCCGAAGGTCAGAGACGTCAATCAGATACCTAAGGGGCGAAATGTTAGCAACTTTGGAAAGTATTTCGACAATGCTGTATGCATACTCTTTCTTTATGGGAGCATAGCCCTTGTTTCTATTATCTCTGTCGTCTACTTTCTCCACAGTGCCATTCTGTGTGGTGGCACCGGTCTGAGTAGTGGCCGTTTGGTCGGCCAACGGTTCACTCGAAGTCGGCTCTTGGACCCTTTGTCTCTTAGCAGCGGGCTCCTCAATCGGCGAGGGCTGTCGGGCATTCGCCTCCTTTTCAGAAGTGCCGTTTTGCTGGGATTGGTCCGTCATCATGAGCTTTCGGTATGGCGGTGGCAAACAGTGAGACTCTCAGCGCGGTTGATGGCTGCGAGGATGTGTAGGGCCACTGAGCACTTCACAGTTCAGTTTTCCGGCTACTTGAGTCCAAGAAGAAGTGAAACACGGGTTCCGCTAAGAATATTCAAGGTTGGCGATGAAGCGCAGGCTGTGGGAAGAAAAAGTGATGTTGAACAAGCTTAGAGGAATCGCTGGCGATAAAAATTTCTATGGCGGCGGGCTGGCGACAAGCCACTGCCGCTAGCTAGCGCGGCCAATAGGCTTACACAACGCGACGAGCACTGAGAGCAGGACGAAAGAGGTTCGTAGTGGCCGCAATACAGCAGGAATGTAACAGTTAATCACCTCGTCCAAGCTCTTTTCACCGTTTTGAAACTTTTTCACCAAACTCTCTACAGATTTGAATTCGGCGTTGCTGTCACGAAGCTAAGTGCTCACCTTCCACGGTTGCAGAAAGCTGGGAATAGTTATAAACAGGCAAAACTCATCTCCAATGTGTGCCAGAGCCGATCCATGAATATTCTATTATTAAACTGATTTCTACTTCTCAACTGATTCCATGACTTGAAGTATCATTTCAGATGTCGACTTTTCCCCTCTGCTTTCTCGCCAAGGCGGCAATGAACCCCGGATCTATTAAGATAGTAGCCCCCACCCCTCAAACGTCGCGGGGCGGGCACCAGCGTCCAGGCATCAAACCTCCAACACCGCCACCGCATCATCTCCCAGTCAATTGAGCGACTTCCTCGGCAGAGGGGATGCCGAACACCTGACCGCCCGGATCTTCTCGACGGCCATGGCAGATTCGGGCAAGTCGTACCGCCCGCGCGCCGTGAGCAGCGCCGCCAGGTCAACCACCTCCTCCATCGGCGCGCACCGCTCGCACAAGAGCCTGGTTAGCTCCCCGCACCCGCGGACCGAGATTTACGAAGACTCGGACGACTCGGACCAAGATGACGACGACGAAGACGACGACGAAGATGACGAAGATGACGACGATGACGTCCAACCGCCGACCCACCAGGCGCTGCCTCGAAGCCACACGCCTGGCCATCTCGCCAGCAAGAGCGTCAACGACCGGACCACGGCCGCCGCCGCCGCCGCCGCAGCCAAGCAGGTCGCCGAGCTCGCCGTCCGCCAGCGATCGCAGTCGGCGTCACAGGTGCCACCGCGGCCCTCGACGACCGGAGGCAGCAAGAGCCAAGCCAGACCGCAGCACCCACCACCACCGCCGCCCCCACCAACGACCTCTGACGACGCCGACAAGGACGGGAAGCGAGGAGGAGGAGGAGGAGGAGGCTACACGCGCACGGCGTCCGTGCTGACGTCCAAGTCTAACCCCCCGGGGCCGTCCTCCCGCAGCGCGTCTGGGGCGGCGCTCTCGCAGGTGCCCAAGGGCGAGCATGTCGCCTTCCCGCCGCTGCAGGACCCCAAGGACGCGCCCGACACGCCCGCGGCGCCCGCTTCCGGCATGTACTGGTCGCGGGCGCCCGTGTCCGGCGCGCCGCACTCGCAGCTGCGCGCCCACACGACCACGCTGATCGGCTCCAACGTGTACGTGTTCGGCGGGTGCGACGCCCGCACCTGCTTCAACACCGTCTACGTGCTCGACGCCGACGCCTTCTACTGGTCGGTGCCGCACGTTGTCGGCGAGGTGCCCGCGCCGCTGCGCGCCATGACGTGCACCGCCGTCGGCCGCAAGCTCGTCGTCTTTGGCGGCGGCGACGGGCCGGCCTATTACAACGACGTCTACGTCCTCGACACGGTCAACTTTCGCTGGACGCGACCGCGGGTGCTGGGAGGCGGCGAGCGCGGCGGCGGAGGCGAACGGCATCTACGTGTTTGGGGGTGGCGACGGCGTCCGCGCGCTCAATGACATCTGGCGCCTCGACGTCAGCGACACGACCAAGATGTCGTGGCGGCTCGTCTCAAGCGGTTCCGAGAGCGGCGGCGGCACGCCACCGTCAGGTGCCGCCGGCAAGGACCAGCGACGGCCCAAGGCGCGCGGCTACCACACGGCCAACATGGTCGGCAGCAAGCTCATCATCTACGGCGGCTCGGACGGTGGCGAGTGCTTCGACGACGTGTGGGTGTACGACGTGGAGACGCACGTGTGGAAGACCGTCAGCGTGCCCGTCACCTTCCGGCGGCTCTCGCACACGGCCACCATCGTCGGGTCGTACCTGTTCGTCATTGGCGGGCACGACGGCGCCGAGTACTGCGACGACGTGCTGCTGCTCAACCTCGTCACCATGACGTGGGACCGCCGCCGCGTCTACGGCCAGGGCCCGACCGGCCGCGGCTACCACGGCACTGTCCTGCACGACAGCCGCCTCATCACCGTCGGCGGCTTCGACGGCAGCGACGTCTTCGGCGACGTCCACATCCTGGAACTCGCGGTCCACGCGTACTACTCGCAAATCAGCCACTTTACGATTGAGGTGTAGACATGGGGAGAGCGGAGGCGAAACACTGGGGATCGGCTGCGTAGTATGCGCGGGTGGTGGCTATATGGCGTGATGACATACAATAAACGCATGACATGATTTTAAGAAAGGATCTTGGACATGAAGATGATTGAACGTGATTGTGATTTATAGATGCCGTATCGTACAAAATGTAAGCTTTTCCTAAGCTAAAATAGACACCAGTTTCTCCATGGCGCCGTTTTGGGTTGAGTTCTATGCAATTCCATGACCCGTCATTTCCCCCTCGATGTTTAAGACCTTGTTCTTATATGATTGGCCACTTTTTAGTGTGCCGCAACGGATGTTATTACATTGCCAAAGCAAAAAGCATGGCTCATATCGGGAGATTTGTCGTTTTTTATGCAGTGAAACAGGCAAGCTGCTAGACTGTGTCGGTTTTTATGTGGTGATGCGACGTGTGAGTTGACGGTCTTAAGCTTTAGCGTCAGCCTTTTCAGGCTGCTCAGTCTTGTCAGACTTTTCCGGAGTCTGCTCGGAAGGCTCGGCGTCCTTCCCGGCCGCCTTGTTCGCCTTGCGCTCTGCGATGCGCTTCTCCTCAGCCTCGACCATGTCTAACAGCCCGTTAGCGTTTGGCTCTGTCTACCTGCAAAAACAACACGATGACTTACCCATCCAGAGGTCCTGGCCTTCGTACTCCTCCTTGTGGACGCGCTTCTCGATGAGGTGCTTGTGCTCCGGGTCGTTCGGGTCCAGCACCATCACCGTCTCCCAGCGACCGCGCCCCTCCTTGGCGTCGTTGACCTCGAACGCCGCCGACACGATCAGCACCGCCAGCGTCAGACCCTGCGCGTACACACGCGCCTGCACCAGCTTCTGGGCGGTGCTAATCGGCGCGCGGCCGACAATGGCCATCGCCAGCGCCATCGACGCCAGCCAGCTCGTGAAGACGATGCTGTACCGGTTCTCCTTGCCCCAGGCCATGAAGCGCTGGTAGGTCGTCTCGTTGTCGCGCGCGATCTGCGCGGCGCGCTGGCTCCGGTCCTGGTAGCCGAACATGGGGTCCTGCGAGCGCTGGAAGCGCGTCGACTCCCGGTCGGCGTTGACGATGGCGCAGAACGTGGCCGAGGAGGTGACGAGGAAGGAGCGGAAAGGGAGGGTCAGGCTGCGGAAGGCGTGGTAGCGTCGGGAGGCGAGGACGACGCCGCCGAGGCCAATGGCCAGACCGGCCGTGCCGCCGACGAGGCCGCTCTTGACGACGACCTTGTAGTGCGCGGCCTCTTCCTCCTTGCTGAGAATCTTCATTGTGGGGGTTTGTTTGGTGTTGTCTTGGTGAGGGTTTGCCTTGGTGTCAAGTGCAGCGGAGCGCTCGGAAAAGTGATAATCGAGGTCAATGGGCGGTTAAGAATAAAATGATATCTCAATTAAGAGAGAGGACCTATTGTAGTGTCGTGTATGATTTCCGCTGCGATGATGCGTTGATGAAGCGCCGGAATCAGAAATGACGCTGTGGCAAGCTCGAATTAGTGGGCCTGTTCCGTCCAATGGCTGCTGGCGTGTTGGAGAGCTACTTACTGAGAGGGCGCGGTTCTTTTGATGGAAAGATTTAAAATATTGCAATAAATATCTCAATCAGATTCAGTGATGGAAATTCATGAAGCAAGAAATTCGGCATTTCGCAGGGCACGTTGCCGTTCATATATCGCGAGAGCAGCGCTTTTGGCTCCCGGAAGAAACTCGTACGATAATTCCAAGCCCGAAGCCGGGCGCCAGCCGATCGCCGGGCCGCGTAGGAAAAAAAAACGAACTTGCCGAGAGCCTCCGAGAGTCCCCCGAGAGCCCAACCACTGGCGTCATCGCTCATCGCTGCGACATTGCATCACCGTTGCGGATTCCCGTCGATGCGCATGGAAATACATTGGGAATAAGCGATTGAGCTCTAAATAGATTAACCTTTTTCCTAGTTTGCGATCGAGTGAACATATGCGCGACCTCGAGTGGAAGAAACGCTTGGATGAGCTAGCCCAGCCGTTGCTTGCTATCAGGGTCTCGGCCGATGCCTTAGCATAGTCATAAACGTCCCTATAGAAAGAGCTTCATTCAATTCTGTTGGCCCATGTCAGCAACTTCAATGCGTCGGCCGCAGCAGACGTCTTACTGGCCGCCGTCCACAGATATGTATATGCATTGACAATGCTCATCGTCAAAGCGGCCAAATTGCGAGGCTTGACTGGCTGTACAGTAATCATGGGCCGCCCTTTCCAAGATCATGGCAATACACCAGTTGTAGATGTCGTTTCTTCGAAATTCCCTGTCTAGACGTCCGCCGAGACGACTTTTCTTCGCATATCCTGTTTCACTGTTAGTCGCACAGCAAGCAAGCAAGGGCTCATTGGCAAAGATGTTCCGCACACACTAGCCACCAGTTTTTTCGAGACTGGTGTACCGTTTATGCAGTTTATGATCAACAAGCATCGTTGCTAAGTTGATGAAACGCATGTAATTGATGTGTAGCTCGCTCCATTGTCGTATCGTCGTGAGGGACATGCTCAGCATGCCCAAGCAGAAGCTACCGGGTATGTTGGGGCAGAACACAAATGATTGGATACGAATGATTGGATTGATGAGATTAAAAAGAGCCAAGTTTTTAGAAGGAAGGATTCATGGGACAGAAAACGGGAACGGGAAAGAAGATATGCGGTGGACAAAGATCGGCCCAATTACCCCGGGCACTTGTACGGCTTTCCGGGGTTGGCCTTGCCGCAGACAGTTCGGGGTTCGCTTTCATGAGAAGTAGGTACCCCGTGCTCATATGGGACTCTCATAAGGCTTTCAAAATGCTAGTACATGAGATGGCCAGCTTCAACCGAACGCGCTTGTGGTTTCGGCGTTGGACTATCACGGCCCAACATCTCCCAGCCTAGTGATAACGGTGATAACGCTGATTGAACCATCTTTGTCGGATATCCGTCCTTAAAATTCCCTAAATGAACCTTTCAATAAAGCCATTTAGCTGTCAATACACAATTGACGACGACGGTTGGTGCCCAGTCGTCACCTCCCAATCCAGACCTTCTTGCTGTGGTCGCCAAATACCAGCATTTGTCCAAGAGCAGCATCTTTCACGCAACACAGGTACGGTAATAAAGACAGCAAAAGCTTTTAATACTTCCACGTTTAACCAACAAAGCGCCGACCAATGACGGCACAGTGACCGGCCGAGTGATCAACCTTGCAGCGCCAACACAGCCCAGGTCCCCCCTTGCAACAGGACCATTGATGGGTAATGGCGACGACATGACTTGCCCGGCTCTCCACGGACGCCATAAATAGCCGTGGCCCGCCGGCTCCAGTCCGATGTCATTCTGGACTGGACTCTGCGAGACTTGGCGCCAATACATTCGGACATCACTCAACTGGGCCGAGACGCCACCGGCGCAGCCTCTCCGGGCTTTCGCGTCGCGTGTCCGCGACCCATGACGTATAGGAACAACCCTCTCGTACGTACATGGTAAGAACCGGGCTCTGGCATGCGATGGGTGTCTCGTGAGCAGTGGGCTGAGTTGGTGTGCGTGCCGACTTGCAGCCCGCATCTCAGCTCGGGCAACGAAAAGCAGCGCGCGCCAGCCGACTGCAGCTCCAATCGTTACTAATCATTACATTGGTACATGCCCATCGCAGTGAATATGCGACCCTGCTTCAAGTTGGTCTACCAAGGCAGACACCAAAGAAGCCTTTCTTCCGGGTAGCTGGAAGTCAGCGCGCGGGTCTTCGGAACCCGCCGTTGTCAGGCTTGCCACCGATTGCCGCGCCCGTCACAAGCATTGTCCACGTGCAATCCGCCTCTATTTATCCGTATAATAGCCTCACCCGATTGGAACGCACCCGACCAAGAAGACAATAGCAGGGCGCTGGAGCCAATTCCGCGGGCGCGCCCATCGCCTGCCTCGGCAGAGGTGGGTATGGCGGCCCGGCGACTCCGAGCAGCGACTGTGGCAATCTCGTTGAGGCTCTGCGCAGCCAGTTTTCATTAGCGCCCGATCCTAGTGAACTGGTTGTTCAGGCACGCTTGGCTTTTCGCATTGCTAATAATAACGATGTGCACTTTGCATGGAATTAGCGGTCGGAAATGAACAAATTGGGCGGGTGCATGAGTTAGCGGCCAACTTCCGTAGGCACGTATGTATATGCATGCAGTTCCGCCACTGTCTCATGACTATACCGCGGCAAGCCACTCTTCGTTTCTCTGGCCGGGCTGACAGGTACGGTCGCGCCTTATTTGCTCCGTATAATTAGTTGAATCATGGAGGCGACGTCGCGATGAAACTTGGGCGACGGTTTTGACAGATGCGTATTCTTCGAAATTCCGGGCAATTGCCGCCGTCGGTGTCTGGTGCAGCAATACCCGAGACCTTCAGGAGGCACGCGGCTGCACTGCAACCCTCCAGTACATGAATAAATGGGCCGATCTATGTAACTAGTAACTTTGTGGTTGATGCAAGCAGTAGTGCCATTGAGGAATTCGATCCTCATCAGTCGGGTTCTGCGTTGCCACCGCGCAATAATTTGGGCTCTTCCGAATTCAGTCAAGGAGCGATACTTCTCGCCCGGTGGTAGGTGCACAACTCAGTTCAACCGTGTCCGAGGAGAGTGGCAAGGTGAATACGCCAAGGCCCGCAACTCTTCCGGCCCTGTACAGGGAAGTGGTCAAGTTGAGCCGTTGGGCCGCATCGTTTCTGCGCAACGAGGTGACGGTCGCCTCACGCGACTTATTCAAAGGGGCCGCTCTGTCTAAGACAGGGCGAAACCCAGCGGACCGCCGCACTTTTGCCCTAACTTCAGGGCTGCCCTGTATTACTATCCCACATGGCGAGCGCCATCTCCAGGGTTCTTGCGGGCCACTTTTTTAGCAAGAACATGAGCGTTCTCCGAAGAAGGACTGGGAGGGAGGGATGGTCCAGGCGCCAAGAATGTCTCTGCGTTTCGAGCTTTGGAAGGCTTTTGGAACGACTCCATTTGTTCTCTGCAGGTTCCTAATTTAGTGGGAGCCATGGCAAGGCAAGCGCCTATCGAGATGCTAAAAAGCACCTGGGTCGTTCCTGTCTACAAGTTGGCGTCACAGTGATGGCGCCTCGTTGCATGAATAGATGGTACCTAATCTGTAGCTATTACTGTTATACCTGGCGTGTATTGTTTTCTGTACGAATATCATCTGGCGGCGAGGCTGGGCAGGGACTCAAAAGTCCATGGCTGGGTTTTCCCCTGTAACAGTAGTTGGCGAGCGCATCAACCACTAACTACAGTAGGTACGTACGTCATATTGCGAGGGAGGCGCCTGTAGGGGCGCGTAATAAAGGCATAGGATACCTATATCAGTAAACCAGCAACTGGCTTCGTACCTGGTCATGATTAGCAAAGGGTTATAGCAGGAAAAGTGATGCGTTCGACGTTAGCCCTTCTGAGGTTGATCGGCAGGAGAGAGGCTGCTGCAAGTTCAAAGCAGCTGACGAGCCCCCCTTTCCTAAGGCACGTTCCGTTTCAAATAGGACGCCGTGCAAACCAAAGACACAAAATTTCCGACCAACCAATTATACCAGGACCAATGCTCGTATGGTAGCGACAGCCGGACCAAGGCCGTAGGCTTGGTCGTCTTTGGTTGATGCCGGAGTTGTCACCGGTTTGTCGACGCCTCCACCCTTGGTATGACTCAGTGTGGCCTGTGGCCAAGACAGCACCATCATCGTCCACCCACATTTAAAACAGGGTCACCCATGTGGCAGTCAGATTTCGGCGGCGAGAATGAGAGAGCGAGAGAGTCCACTGAGCGAGCCCTTGTCATGGGCTTCCCGCTGTGTCAGAGCATGTCGCGATGCGCTTCCACAAGGAGGTCTGCCAGGAGGTACGAACTTCCAGAGGCGCGCCCTTCCCCCACCCCCCGAAAAGAGGGCGACCCAGAGCGGGAAGGTATCGAACATCGGAATGCTCTGAGGTCGGGAAAAGCATGTTGGAGGATATTCATTCCATCGGCGGCCAGTGTTCGTAAGATTTCTGCGCCACAAAAGCTTAGATTCTCTTTTGGTGCTGACAGGCTTGATAGATAGTTTCAACGAGCAGCATCCGCGTGGCGGCGGCCGGTCGGGTGCTGTTCCGCCAGTAGAGCCCTAATTTCGGTCGTATCAGAGGTGGTCACGTATTTGCCCCGGCGTACGAAGTACATGGTTGTCTGTTCGTAATAAGACTTGTACGCAGTCGTACTGTCGTACTGTGTAGCTTGCGGTTCCTGGATCTAGTTGCGGGTAGAGAAAGGTTACATCGATGTGTATCACTCGGCTCCTGCTTCAACTAGTCAGTAGCACAAGGAACATCAAGCACAGCCGTGAGCTGATTTCAGGGTTGGTTCGAGCATCGGGCTACGACTGGCCGCATCTCTTTCCTTTTCTGAGCCAGAGGATGGTCACCACCAGTAAAAGCATCCTTGTCTGAGAGGTGGGCGGTGACAGACATGCATGAATACCCATCCTGTCTTGCAGCAGCCACACAGTAACGTGCAGTAGAATGCAGAGCGTCGCACGGGAGTTTACCGCTAATGATAGGCCTTGACGAACAAATTAGTATGCAGCAGTGATATTCACTGCTAATGAGCAATTGCCCGGGCAAGATGGGACGCGGAGCGTCGCCCTTTCATAACTTTAGCCATGACGTTCTGAGAGGATATGCTCCGTTCTGGGCTCTTTGACGTATGTATGTACAGTAGTCATGGGCATCCAAGTACGCACAGACTAGACCGCTATTTCTTAATTTGAGGGGACAAAGGAGAGGGAAAGGCGTGAAACCATCCGTAGAATGATGATAATGCAGGTCAGTTCGTACTCCGTAAATGAGGAGCGCCTCTGTCGGGGCCTTCGTTTTGGACTAACACAACTCATGCGCTCGCTCCCAGATTGTTCAGTCCAGGGTGCAGCTTGAGCCTGCAACGTTGTACATACTGGAAGCTTGCGTTCCCACTCAAGAAACACCCGGGTCTTGTGCTCGGCGTCGCTGGGCAGACAGAAACCATGAATTGGAGATGTTCTTGAGATCTTGTAAATTGACGCATTGTCGACTGTGTCCTATGTGCGGATTAGTCGACTGCACGACTGTCGTCAGAGGCGAGCTACCAGATGTCTCAATGTCTCAAGACCGATGCTAATAAGCAAGCCAAGTTGCACATGCGAAATCCAGTGTGCTCCCACCGATTGAGGCATAGCGTGTTGGTAAAGGGAACTTGCAAGGTAAGAGTCGCCATTTCGTGGGGTGCGGTCAATCAGGTGGTGGCGCCGCCGGAAACAGCAGTTTGGCAGATTGCGCACGTCCGTACAGATCGCATGGAACGTTTACTCCCATACTGTAGCCTCATTCTGGGGCAATTCTCAAGCATGGGCAGAATCAGGAGCAAGGCTTGACTGAAGAGCTACTTATGTGAGTGAATTTTCTCTTCTGCGATATTTGTAGTGTTGGCTGTAGAAATTCGAGAGGGTTCAAACAGCGAGGCAGACGGGCGCCGCCGCATGCGGAAGACGACAAATGGGGGGTGGAAAGCCGCCACTCAACTAGTTGTCCGTGTTGGTTGGCCCTCTCCCATGGCTATATCTGGAATTTCGGGGCGCATTCGGCATTCGCACCAGCCGGAAGCTTCATTGTTGGTCGGCACCTAACTGGAAACTGGAAGGTGGCTAGGGTACTTTGTAGCCACGACGACATTCATGGCTGCGCCCGCCGGCCGTGGGTAATTTTGCGGTGGCAGAAGCCAAAGGCGCAGTGGCAGGCGACTGACTGGAGAGTCACGACACTAGACTGTTAGGCTCGCTAGCCGGGTTTTTGGGAGACGTCTCGATGGCGCTATATATTTACGCCAACTCAAATGGCCACCCAGAGGTAGTTGGACGATGAATGCTCCTTTGAAGGGTGTTTGGTCTCGGAGCAGTCAAGCGGGCGGTTTGCCATATAACCTTCCTTGTACCAGTATACGTCATCGAATAGACATGGACAGGGACGCCATGTGTGCCTAGAAACTCGACAAGGAAGATCACTAACGTTGGTGACCAGCATATGGGGGGAGAATGATTCCATTATGCCGGGCCAACCTACCTAGTAATTAGGTTGCTGCCAAGCCAAGGGGCGATGGAGGGCGAGATGGCTCTACTAGTCGGTAATGGCGGTGCGTTTGCACTTGACCAAGTCAGAAGAGGACAAGTAAATGATAACAAAGAGTCATGCCGATTCTGATTTGTTTCGTCTGGTCGGTACCTGCTGGGGGACATTCTCTCGTTTGCCACCAAGTACGAGGTATGTATGTATGTACATACATAGGTAGGTAGTAACAAGTGGTTAGGTGCATGGCGACATGCAAGGCAACGCAAGGTGATCCGTTTGCTGCGGCCAGCTGCATGTTCAAGTACATGTCACGGAGAAAACGCGCCACCAAACACCTAGTTGCTACACATATATATATGCGCACATTCTGATAGAACCTCGCGAGGTATAATTGGGGGTATCTTGAATGTAGAGACGTCGACCACGCTGGTACATCGCCACTTGGTAATACAGCCAGAGCCAGATTCCTTGCATGTCGTTTCGCCCGCCGTGCTGCGTCGGAAGCTGCGACAACACTGCAGACCGGCCAGGCAGCCGTCGCGGATGATGCTTATAAGACGCCTTCTTTGTTTGACTCACCGCCGCCGCCGCCGCCGCCGCTACGTATCCTGGAAGAAGCGAGGCAACCAACCACTGTAAACAACAATCCCCATCCGCGGCAAGCACAACCAGACTCGACTTATGTACACAACAGTGTCAACCTTACACAGCGGCAACACCCTGCAAGCCATCTCGCCTTGTTGCCCTTGCGCGCCAGCCATCCAACCCCAGCCATCCATGTCCATCCAGTTATCAAAGCCAACCGAACCGAGCCGTCAACGCATCACGAAGAGCTATTTAAGGCCTCGCCCCCATTGCTTGCATACCTTTCGACAATAGCGCACAGAGCGGGCGCATCGACGAGGTTGAAGAAAGACGGCAGGCACATAGCGTCCCCTCCCGAGTTGAGACAGGCACGCCGCAGGAACTATATCTGACTGCTTCGTACAAAGTATTCTCCAAGTACACCGACCGGCTGTGTCACCAAGGGGCGCCCCAACCAGGCCCAAGCCCAAGCCTAACAAGCCAAGGTCGAAACTTTGTGCACAACATCAGAAGCCGGCAGCCGTGTAGTCTTGCGATTAGACAGGGATAATCGTCTGGGATGACTGGGCCAACTGGCTTGATTCCTCGCACCACTCCCACCCCGATGGTATTTCTTGCCGCTGCTCCCCCCTCGAATATGGTTTTGGGGCAGTTCTTCCGCTATATTCAATATCACCAGTACGTTTTGAAGTCGCGACCCGATCAGCAGAGGCAAAGTCATCAGCTATACGTGGTATCCTAGCAGCAGGAAGTAGTGCGTCAAACGACACGCATATGACTAGACCAAGCGACGAAAAGTATCGATAGCACGCATCCGAATCAGCACCGACAGACGTGCAGCTTACAGTGCCAAGCAGCCAGCAACGCTGACTCCACGAGAGCGCATCAGTCGAAGGCGCTGGCGCAAAGAGGATGCAGAGCGCCATGAAGTGGTTGATGGGGGGCGCGGCGGCCGCGGGCGAGGACGCAGCAACAGGGTCTAACAGCCAGGAACAGCAACAGCAGCAGGCCAAGCTGGCCAAGCAGGCCGCGGGGAGCAATTCTGCTGTATCAGGATTAGCTGGGTCCAGCAGAGACGGACGGCCGGACGGGGGTTCTGGAGGATGCCCTTTGGATTTGGATCCTTCCCAGGCGCCCCACCAGCAAAGAGCCACCCTTCCCAGGAGCGGCAATAGCGTCGGCGGGCGCGACCAGGCCGCTGGAACTGTGAGTGGGAGTGAGACCGGGACCAGGAGTCGGCCAGATGGAGGTAATTATACCAGTGCATTTATGATGCCTACAAATGGTATTGCAAACGACAAATTGACGAATAGCACGGGCCGTGGAATTTCCACAGACGGGAGCAGGGGAATCAACAGGAGCAACGACAATAGCAGCACAGGCAGAAGGACGAGAGGCAGACCGAGAGGGAAAGCCAGCAGCAGGGCGAGTGCGGCGAGTGCTGCTTCTGCTGCCACCAAGGCGCCGGCTACCGCCTCCAATCCTTCAGGACTCAGCGCACTCTTCAGCGCTCAGCCCACCCCCAAGACTCCCCAGGCCACTGCCGGTCCTGCTGCCCCCAGTGGTCACGGTCGGGCTGCTTACAGGTCGCTCCCCCCCTCGACATCTTCCTCTCGGGCCACCGATTCACCTGCCTCTCTCCTCTCCACGTCCTCGACTCCCTCACCATCATCACAACCCGCCACTCCTTACGACGACTCGTCTCACCTTCTCCTTTACTCTATCGACCAACACTTACATCTCGCAAACGCTCCCCCGCGCACGACGCTACTGTCCAACGCGCTCCTCGACTCTCTCCGCCGCGACGACGACGATACCCATCTGGTCCATCGCGACCATCCCGACACAGACATGACGACCGGTCCCATGGGCCGCTCACGGCAGGACTCCTTTGTGAGCACCGGCCCGAAGCCCATCTCTGTCAACAACCAGAATCGCGACAGCGTTAACCGCAACCGCCGAGAGTCTCTTGCTGGCAGTCTCATGAACGGCATGAGCTGGGCTGGCATGTCATTTGGCAGCTTCGTCCGCGATGAGTAAGTGAAATAGATGCCCCTCACCCAACACCGACCAACTCTGCCCCCCCCCCCGATGCGATGCCCTGCAAACGAGCCGCGATTCCTTCGCCCGCCATTTCTGCACCAGCCTTTGCTTTTTCTTGCCGCCTTTTGATAGCGGCAGTATTTGCGACCGTGGTGCACTCGCCACTCGCCGGCTGCAACGGCGATTTATTCGCACTGCTCTCGCTGTCGGGCACCACCACCACCAGGTCCTCACTTTTTTTTTCGGTTGCGGGGTGCCGCCCAGCGCCGTCGCAACCAACGCGTTGTATTCTCTACCTATGGCCCTCGACTAACACATGCTCTCCTTGATAGCGTCATGATGCAAGGTACCTCTCCCGCATTTGGTAACACCGGTGCCCAGCCTTCGTCTTCGTTCCACTCTTCGTCCTATTTGCCCAAGCTCGAAGCCAACTTCATGAGAGACTTCACATGCTGCGGCAAGACCCTTCCGAACCTGCACGATTTGCTTCAGCATTACGAAGAGGCGCACACCCAGCCGAGCCCCAATGCTGCCAACAACGCTTTTGGCCAGTTTGGCGCCCCGTTTGGCATTCAAGGCAACTCGCAAATGTCCAGCTCTCGGACTACTCCAACACCCGCGCAGGGTAACCTGCAGGGTCTTGGCCAACAGCCGGGTCAGACTCAAGGCGGTCTTGATGGCGTCCAGATGAATGCCCTCAACCCCGCTATGAACAATATGAACGATGACATGGATGCTGTGGCAGACATGGAGATGGACGATGCGGTCGGAACTATGGAGCTTGACGACAGCTCTCGAATGACGCATACTAGACAGATGTTCGGCCAGCAGCAACGACCGCATCTCGACATGTCGCACGCCGGCTTCCCCCAAGCGCTGCGCACTTCCCAACCCACTACGCCAGCCGTGGCTAGCTTTGGCTTGCAAAACAACCCTACCGTGTCTTCTGTCAATACCCCAACCCTCACTACCCAGCAGCAGCATCAACTTTCCCAAGCTGCGTCGCGCATGGATGACATGGACGAAATGGAGGGCGATTTGCCGGGCATGCCCATGGGCGGCGTCGCTGGCGCTTTCGGCGACATGGACTTCTCCAATGGTAATCCCGAAGATGAAGACTCGAACTTCTGCATCAACGATCCTGGCAAACATCTCTTCAGCCCCAACGGTGCTGTCCCGCCTGGTGGCAACCGCACGATCCAGGCTCAGCTCGCCCAGCTTGGTCTCACTCAGGGCCAGTTTGCTGACCCAGAGGCGAATAAACTTTTACTCCAACGATTGCAGAGTATGATGATGCCCGAGGAGCACAAGCCATTCAAATGCCCTGTTATCGGTTGCGAAAAGGCCTACAAGAACCAAAACGGACTCAAGTACGCTGCCCTCAAAGTACCATCATGCCCACCATTACTAATTAGTCTCCAGATATCACAAAGCTCACGGCCACCAGACTCAACAATTGCATGAGAACGGAGACGGCACGTTTTCCATCGTTAATCCCGAAACAAGTGCGCCTTATCCCGGTACTCTCGGCATGGAGAAGGAGAAGCCATTCAACTGCGAAACCTGCGGCAAGCGATACAAGAACCTCAACGGCCTGAAATACGTGCGTTACATGCCCCCCTTCCAACTCTACACAGACTTTAGTGTACTGACTACCCCCATAGCACAAGGCACACTCGCTACCCTGCAACCCAGAGTTCAAGCTGCAAGCCATGGCTGCTGGGCTGAGCCTGCCTGGAATCACTGAAGATGTTGCGCCCTAGCAAGTTCCAAGTCGCAGCTCCTGCTCTTGGTGTCCGAGAGGCTGCTATTTATACAAAATACGCATGCTGGCCACGTGCATCTACCTGTACAAAGCTGCGATGTATATAACCCCGACCCTGCTCACCCGTTGACGGTCTGACGAGGTCTGATTTCTTCAGGGGGCAGGCCCCAAAAAAGCTGGCCTTACATCTTGGTCTACAAAAGTGATTTCACGGCTGTCTCGGTATTCTCGTTTTGTTCACGGTGCACGGTTCATTGCAACGGCGTTCCTTGCACTTCTTTCGTCCTCCTTCCGGTGTCGATGCCCCGACATGGACATCTTGCCATGTACGAGCAAGATTAAAAAAAAAACGTCGAGGAGGATCATTCTATCCTACCTAATGTCCTACGATTCCCAAAAGGCCAGTTTGTTCCGTGCCGATCTTCCCGCGAACGGCTCCCAGCGTCGATCCCCAAATATACCCCACCCGACTCTGTGTCAGAGGACAAGCACAATCTCCCAATGAGACTCAGCTTGGCTTGTCTACGAATGCCTATCGATTTGCCTCTTTATGGAAGGTCTCTCCCTGCAGTGCGCCTCTTAAATACTATGGTCTGGAAGGGGAGATGGAGCATCGTGCAACTCGGCCGGGATGTCTTCCTCCTTCTCCAATTGTCTCTCTGCGCGGACTTTTCTTGTGATAGGATGTTTCTTGTTGGTCGTCCTCTGCTCGCTACATGCAGAGGCGCACATTGTTTTACATTCCCCGTTCGTCTCAGGTTTTGGATTGAAATATTAAGGGTTGTCAGAGCTACCTGGGCAGCCGTTTGAGCATGTTTTCTTGGCAAGTGCGCGCTTTCGGGCTTCATCTGGGCCATAATACGCCGACGGATCCAGATGGCAAAACGGTGGCCGCATTCAAGTACCCAAAAGAAGGCCATGGACTTCGCTTGTCTATACTATACTTGTCTTGCATGAGATAGTGCAGGGGTATAAAGAAAGAGCTGTGCTGGATTAAATGGGTTGCGTTTTCTTTTACCGTTTAGGTTGTTTTGTTTTCTTGCTTTATCTGGTATTGGTTGTACTTTTTTGTTTGGTTTTGTTTCATCCTTTTGGTTTTTGCTTTAACAACGGAGAATGGTTACACAAAAGAATTTCAGGGCAGTCTTTTTTTGCTTGCAAAGTTGGTCTTGTTTTCTTAATATCATCAATCAATGTCTTTTTATTGTTGATATTACACGCATGATGATGACAAGCAAATGTGATTCGTGATTCTTTGGCTCATCTATACGGGCAAAAACACTATAAACTAGGAGAGAAAATCGACAAGCGACAGAAAGTCCAAAAACACTGACTTGACGCGGTAAGCAAATAGCCAAACGCCAAAACAATGCTGCGGTGTGAAAAGCAGAAAAATAAAATAAAGACAAGACCGAGCATAGCCTGAACAAGCGTAGCAAAGAAAGCAAGTATATCCGTCTATAAAAGGGTAATGCACATAGAACAATGCGCACAGACAGGGGTTTCTTTTTTTCCCTCCTCTCTTCCGGCGTCATAAGTCAAAAAGTGTGTTAATGATGCTTATCTGAGCGGGCCAAGAATCGCTGGTGAGCACGATGGACGAGGTGGCGGCAACGGCAGGGTTTTCGGTACCGCTCCTAGTTAATCTCCATGCCGTCATCATCGTCAACCTCAGTCTCGGACTCTGCGAGCTGATGACTGCCGATGCTGCCTTTGCGGTCGTTATCGTCACCGTAGCGGCCGGCGCCGGTGCCAGCACCACCGCCCCGGCCTACGGCTGCGGCTGCCCCGATGCCAGACCACTCGAGCTCGTCGCCGGCGACGACCCGGCCCTCCATATCGACCTCTTGTGAAAGGGCGACGAGGGCGTGGCGAGGGAGGCGGAGGAAGCCGTGGGTGCGGACGATGCGGCCCCAGTGCGTCATGCATAGGGTGGCGGCTCGCTTGCGCAGCCACCCCTCGTCAGCGAGACCAGCCGCGTGCCAGATCAAGCAGGCGTTGTCGACGTCGAGCTCGCGCGCGAGGCGGTTGACGCACAGCAGCCGCAGGTGCGGGATGCCATATATGTTGGCCATGACGAGTAGGCCGGTGACCTCGTCAATGCCGGTCGCGGTTGGGCCGCCGGGCTCGACGGTACCGTGGATGCTATCGGTATACAGGTATAGTAGAAACGCGCGTACGACGGGGTACGGCTCCGGGATATGCATCTTTTTCGTGTGGAACTCGGCCATCTGCGCGTTGTAGAGTCTGGAAAAGTGATCCCAGCGTGCTTGTAATATCAGCCTGTGCACGTGAATGGGCGGCGATGTCGCGGCGCCGGGTGCCAGCCAGTTCTCGTCGGACTCTTCCCCGCTGTGAATGAGGCCGGAGCTGAGCATCTCATCGTCTTCTGCGCCATCTGCGAGTGCTGTGATGAGAAAGTCCGTGCCGCTGCCCGACTCTGGTGGCTGATCAAACGTCTTGGCCAAGTCTGCGCCGAGGCCATGTGAGGGCTGGTCGAGCGGCCGGGCCAAGGCCGAGGGTCGACTTTCGACATTTGGTTGCGGCGCCAGCTTATTGCCAAGGAGGCCGTAGCGCCGGAGGTCAACTTCCATAACATCACTGCATTCCGTTAGTTGGAGCGCTATGGTCCTGGTTACAATTCAGACTCACCTAAGATATAGCTCGTAGCCCCCGGGGCCGAATTCTGGCCCAACAGGGTCAAGTGGGCAACCAAGCAACCAGGCTTTGGTGCCATCTTCATTCATAGTACAATAGTGCCATCGATAGCCCGATTTAAAAATTTCGTGGCCGTCTGCCAGCTTTTGCCATCGTAATGAGGTCAGGTCCAGGGCGGACAGAGAGCATTCTCGATGTGTGATGGTGGCGGCAGGTGAAACAAAGTCGAGCAAAGTACCCGACGAGTAGATGTGAAAATGAATACCAGAGCCCTGTGACGGGATGTTGGGGCCCGAAGTAAATTTCAGAGCAGATATCGCACCGGGGGCCATCGGTGCATAGGCCTTGAGCTGTACGGAGGGAGGGTTGACTTGAGCAGTACGCGAATTAGCTGCATACCCGGTAGTTCCAACTGCTGTGCTGTGTCCCATTGTGTATGGAGGTCGTGGGGAATCAGTACGATTGCCACTAGCCGGCCGATCATAGACACCGATTTGAGGCCGCGAGTCGAACTCGGGGACGCCCTTCAGGTCAAGCCACCACAAGTCGCTGACCTTGTCCATGTCCTCGCTGAGGCCGCCAAACACCCAGAGGCGCTCACCCCAGATGCAGGCAGAATGATCAAAGCGACCAATAAAGCGCCAGGTTTTGGACCATGTAAATGTTTTCAAATCGAGATAGCAGATATCGTCGAGAACATAGTTGTTTGTGCCAGTGATTCCGCCGATAATAAACAGTTTATCCTCGTGTAGTGTTGCGGCATGTCTGGCTCTGCCCTTGGGTATGGGACCAGAGACGGCTGGCTGGGTCCAGTGTGCGGTTTTAAGGTCGAAGATGATTAAATCGGAGAGGTAAGTGCGATGTTCGTTTTCGCCGCCGAATACAAGCAGCTTGTCGCCTTGATAAAGTGTTGCAGTATGCCCTGTGGTAGAGTTAGCAAGAAGTTGTAGAGATGGAGTAGTGGGACACTGTACCCATGCGTACACCTGGGATGTCACCATAGTTGTCAACCAGACTCCATTGGTTGCTGGCAAGGTCGAGTCGCAAGACATGGTTATAGACCTCGTCGGTGTACTGGTCGAAGCCGCCGAAAGCATAAATCTCATTGTTGCCGCAGTATGTGACGGAAGCATTGACAAGGCAAGCCGGCCGTTGGCCCAGGGTACGAGTGACCTTGGGCCTGTAGCCGTCGACCGAGGGACGGGCCTTGGCGGGTGAATTGGCCATTATGTAGGTGTTATTGGAGTCGGGGAGGACGGCCGGGGGTGTCGGAGCAGCCATAATGGAGGGCGTCGTCGGAGACTGGTGGCTTGATGCGTCGGCCAGCACGAGGCTGTCACCAGCACCAAAAATGGAGTTTGGTGTCTGGGAAGCCGGGGTAGTGGGATGCGCCATGGCAATGACAACGGGACTCTAGAGGGCCACCGGTTATGTTCCCATGTCACGCGTTGAACGCTATCAGATGTAGCAGAGATTCAGGTCTGAGCGCCTTGTGACGAATTTCTGACCGAGACAACGGGGGTGAAGCTGTCCACAGGTAATTCCGGGGATGACAAACGAGCAGCGACAATGCTGCAGGCGCAGATGACAGACAGGCAAGGTCGGTCAGAGTTACGCAGGCGGCAATTAGACTGAGAGAAGTGGACGTTTTGGCAAAATTATGTCGCCCCACCCATGACTGGCACTATGCAGGGGTTTCTGTATCGACCTACCTGCGTTAAGCCTTCTTCGGACTAGCCGGAACCAAGCCGCGGGTGAGACACGGGCGCAGCATCGGATTATCATTCTTCCATATTCTTCCGGTAGCTGGGCAGGGGTTTGGCTCGTTGCCTGGACAGACTCTTGGTGGGGCTCAAAGTAAATAAAAGGTAATTGTGAATCGGCAGTATCGGGTCGACATGTCATTCCACCAATATTCACCTTCATACCAAAGAACCCATCTATATATCCTTTGCACGTTCAGCTTAAAGCTATTATAGCTTACTTGCACTCTTCTGCTTTCTGCACTTTTTCACACAGAAATTCCGAAATCGTTTCGAAAATTGTTACGTCCGACTTGCTGTCTTCGTTTGACGCTCCCTCCTCCACGCCAGGTCCTTGTCAAGAAAGGCATCGTCGATTGCATCGAAGCCCGTCACTTTTCTCTCATCTCGAGAAGTAGTGCCGCAAGATCAGGAGCCTTTCACTAGAGCATCTTGGAGTTTGCTTGATTACGTCGATGCTTGATTTGTTCTCGGCACTTCCTTCGTCTTCCACGTTCAGATCCTCCACACCCCGACCTATTCCTCCTCGATAAACGCTCACAAAAAGGCAAAAAGATTATTCCCTCCATCCCCACAATGTCGACTGTTACGGTTTCGACACCGGTCAAATCCCACAAGGGGCTTTTCTCCTCTCGCACTGCTGGCGGACGCATGCCACTTACACCATCTCCACGCCAGCAGTCGACAACGACCACCGTCCCTGTGAACCTCAACTCGTCTCCCTACACCCCCGATGGCTCGGGAAAGAAAGATTGCCGTGCTACCAAAAGTTCTAAATCCACCTATGGTGGTAACCTCATGTCACATCTGTCACGCTCCGTATCAATGGCTTCCAGTCGCGGTTCCCCCAAGTCCAATATTGCCCTCGGTGCGCAAACACCTCGCAAGGCCTTCGAGCTGGGCGTCTCTGATTTCACCTTGACGGGAACTGGTGCTCCCAAGACTCCCGCCAGCACCAAATCCAAGAAGGGGTCTCTCCGCGTCAAGCCCACCAAGACGACAATCAATTATAGCGGCGACCGCTTCATCCCAAACCGAAGCTCAAGCTCAGCCATTGCCAACGCTGGCTCTAGCAAGCTCGATCTTTCTGAGAGACAACGGCCCAAGTCCAGTACTAACGGCTCGTCTGCCCTGGCCTCAGCCGCAGATGACGCTGCCGCTGCCTTTGAGCGGTTAGACTTGAATACCGAGGAAACCGACACTTACACGAAGCCTTCTCCCAATACGGTCGCCTACCAAGACTCGCTCGCCGACGCCTGTGGTGTCAAGCTTAATACTCGTATTTTGGAGTTCAAACCTGCTCCGCCCGAGTCTTCCAAACCTATCGACCTTCGCCAACAGTACAACAGACCCCTCAAGCCTGTCGGCGTCAGCTCTGCTCAGATCCGCAGGCGCATCGCTACTGCTCCTGAGCGTGTACTTGACGCCCCTGGCCTGATTGATGACTACTACCTCAACCTTCTCGACTGGAGCTCCGGCAACCAAGTGGCCATCGGTCTAGAACGCAACGTATATGTGTGGTCAGCGGACGAGGGCAATGTTAACTGCTTGCTCGAGACCAGCCCCGACACATACGTCAGCAGTGTCAAGTGGTCTGACGATGGTGCCTATGTTGGTGTCGGTCTAGGGACGGGCGAGGTTCAGATCTGGGACGTCTCCGAGGGGCAGAAGATCCGCAGCATGTTTGGCCATGATACCCGAGTTGGTGTGATGGGCTGGAGCAAGCATCTTCTTTCCACTGGCGCCCGAAGCGGCCTCGTCTTCAACCACGACGTGCGGATTGCTGAACACAAGGTTGCAGAGCTTGTGTCACACACCTCTGAGGTTTGCGGTCTGGAGTGGCGCTCTGATGGTGCGCAGCTTGCTACCGGCGGCAACGACAACCTAGTTTCCATTTGGGATGCCCGCTCGCTGTCTGTGCCCAAGTTCACCAAGACCAACCACAAGGCCGCCGTCAAGGCGCTCGCCTGGTGCCCTTGGAACATGAACCTGCTGGCTACCGGTGGTGGCTCCTATGATCGTCACATTCATTTTTGGAACTCGACGTCGGGCGCTCGCGTCAACAGCATTGATACTGGCTCTCAAGTGACTTCTCTCCGCTGGAGCCCTCACTACCGCGAGATTGTCAGCTCCTCTGGCTTTCCCGACAACTCCCTTAGTGTCTGGAGCTATCCTACCCTTGTTCGCAACGTCGAGATTCCTGCTCACGAAAGCCGTGTTCTCCACAGCTGCTTGAGCCCAGACGGCCAGATGCTTGCCACCGCTGCTGCAGACGAAAGCTTGAAATTCTGGAAGATTTTCGAGAAGAAGGCTGGCTCGTCGGCTGGCGCTGGCACATCAGGCTCGTCGAGCAAGGCCGAGATGGCCAAGTCCATGACCATTCGATGAGTACTATAGGGCTTCTAACGCCACACGGTAGGTATGCATCTTTTTCCCTTTTCACAGACGAAAGTCTCGTGGGCTGGGCTTGTTCTGTATGCAACGGCGTAGGGGAGTTTCTGTCTGCCCTTCTGCACGTGGTTCGAAAGCGCTTCTCCACGATGAATGAGTACATGGGATTGTCTGGGCGGAAATGCAGCGACAGAATGATACCTCGTGAATGGACATTTTTTCTACTTCGATTTATTAGGGTTTAGGGTCCAGGATAGTTGAATTTGTAACAAAATTGTATTTTGATTTTTAACCGTGGTCAGATTGCTTGTCGGATTGGCTCTTCCTCTTGTCATCGACAAGCGTTAGGCATTCAGGGTATGGAAAAATCAAAACGCCTTCAATGCGTGTGCTATCTTGCAGCACAGAAGATTGCTTCGATCCAGACCTTTTCATTGGTAAAGCATTACCTTGTCCAAGGATTCATCATAAAAAGTCATTGTAACTACTACCTCGTTTCAGCAACAGGCACAGTACCGTCGCAATTAGTACATACAGTGCACCATCAGCGAACTGCCAGCGTGGTGGGCGCTGTTAGTGGGTGGGCGTTGGCCGCTGGAGATGACTAATGCAACCGCCATAGAAAGTGCAAGTTCGCTGGGTGGTTAGCAACTCTCTCCAGTGCACAACCCACCCAGTAAACGGCATCAGCTTACGTATCCCGAAAAGAGCCTCTAGGTGTCTCTCGCAAAACCCGCCTACGATTCTATAATTATCCTTGTTTCCATAACCACTTCGACTACATAGCGACGCTGTTGACGAAACACGGTCGCGCGATCCCGTAAAGTCAGGGCGATTGCAGGACCGCCTGTATCGAGAGCGCAATCACCGAAGCGTCGACCAATCCCGAAATCGCACTTTTTCTCGTCAGAATTCGACAGCCTCCCGTTACCATTGCGCTCAGCACCCCGAACCATCAGACAGCAGCCAGTCTTTGCCGTGATTGCCGCAACGCCAACAGCGGGCCGAGGATCAATTGCGCAGCCAAGTCGACTCTAGCGACCAAGCCGACGACCAGCGACAAACCATCATGTCGAACCAGGCTGTAGGCAATGTCTACCAGACAATCATCGACGAGGTGATCAACAGCTCCCGAGTCGACTTTGAGGAGAGCGGCGTGGAGGAATCGGTGCTGGAGGAGCTGCGCAAGGTGAGCCTGACTCTCTGTTCTTCCCGCCAGTCGGGCCGCGTTTTGGGCCGCGACGGGACCCGATCATTTCAAAATGCATTGCATCCAGCGGCTTCTTCCTTGCAATTTTCCATCGCATCGTCATTCGAGGTTGAGCAGCGACAAGAGGAGTGGTCGTGGCCAAGTCCACGCCGGACCTCTTGCCATCTGTGGGAGACGATGGGACCGAGGGGATGCTCACTGACACAGAAGAGGGGGGCGGCGGGCTGCTGATATTTGGGCCTTTTTAAACCACAAGGACCCAGCCTGTCCTGTGCTGCCTAGCGCCATCGGTACCCGATTGGCTCTTTGCGCAACCTCCCCTCCCATTTCTCGTGTTGCGATCACGTGAAACATGCACATGCATTGTGATTCCTTTGCTTGACTCACATTGTACGCTTTGATCAGCCGACCGATCCCGATGCTAACCAGTATTACAGGGCTGGCAGCAAAAGCTCTCCCAGCTTGACGTCGCTCGTTTCCCATGGGATCCCAGACCAGAGCCTACCCCAGCTGTGGCAGATCAGCAGCCTCCCCAGACCTATGTCCCTCAGCCTCCATTCCCGGGCTCTGCTCCCGCTGCTCATAACGGCGCCGCAGATGGCGCCTACATCAAGCAAGAGCCGGGCGTCAATATCAAGGAAGAGCCCGGCACGCAAGCAGCTGCCGTTCCACAGCAGTACCCTGCGTACGCCATCGATAGTGCTGGTAGTGTCGCCGCAAACAGGGCGGCGCAGCAACTGCAAGCGCAGTATGGAATGCGCGCTGCGGGCTCCATCAACGCCATACAAGATCGCATGGGTCAAGGGCCTCAGCAATCGGGCCAAGCACCGCAGGCCCCGGCCGCAGCTGCTAGCCAAGCACAGCAGCCCAATCCCACCCCGCCGGCTACCGGTCAGCAAGTGCAGAACAACCAGACCGATGGTGCCGGAGACGTAGAGGATGAGGGAGAGGACTTCGAAGGTGTCCTTCTCCGCCGGAGCGACGCCGGCACTCTGGACGAGCTCGGCCGCGTCGACATCGACCGCATGCTCCATTCGCGGATGGCTGCTCGGGCTCGCAGCATGGAAGGCGGCGGCTTGATGCTGCCCTTGAAAGAGGCGACCAAGAACAAGGGCGCCGTGCGCACGAGTCGCAAGGGCAAAGGCGTCGGCGCCTACGATGGCGGAGAAGACGACGACGTGGAGGACGACGAGGATGCCATCAACTCGGACCTAGACGACCCGGACGAGGACCATGACGAGGATGAGGTGGACGACGAGGGTCTCGGCCACATAATGCTCTGCATGTATGACAAAGTCCAGCGCGTCAAGAACAAGTGGTAAGTACAAACAAAATCTCCGCCACACACCCTATCAAAACGACAAGCAGAAGCTAACCCTGAAAAACAGGAAGTGTACGCTTAAGGACGGTGTTCTTACTGTAAACGGCAAGGAGTACGTTTTCCACAAGGCCACCGGTGAATACGAGTGGTGAGAAGCGCCCGGCTTACGAACGGGGACCGCTGCACCAGGTTGGAGGCATCGGAAGGCTGTTCCCCCGGCCTTGTTACAAGGCCGAGGGTGGGAAGTTTTAGTATCGTTGTTTTCGTTCTTATTTTTTTTTGTTTAAACATGACACACGAAATTGGGAGGCAGGAAACGCACTGGAGTTTGGTATTTTTTACCTCTTTTTTTTTTCTTTTCTTCTCGTTTCTGCCAAAAAGAAAAAAAGTTGGCACGGCAGCGTGACATGGGGGAAGGGTGCGCCCAAAAATGGCTATTAAACTCGGTATACTGTTCTTTTTCAAAAATAAAACATCTCTTTTCCCATTCTTTCTCTGCTCTTTCTGTGCCGTGTATGGCGGTTTGTCTAGGGTCCTGGTGAACCTTTGAATGATGGTAGCGCAGTGTTGCAACTTGATCCTACCCGTCTGACAAACGGCCGTGTTTGCCCAAACCAACCCAGCCTAATCTCGGATACGTTTTCCGTCGACATGCAGTCACATCGTAAGGCGGACTAAAGTGGATTTTGCAGTCAGCAGTCCGCCAAGTGATTTAATCTTTCACGGCCCGAAGGACTACAGGATAACGTCGCCGCGCGCGGCTGGATCGATCATGCTTATGGAGCGCTGCGATCAGGAGCCTGCAAAACGCACGCCACACTCCATTAAGAAACTGAGTGCAGGAGCGCCGTCGGGGCGGCTTACAAATCAGTAACAATTTCACGAGAAAAGAATCTTGTCTCATGCTCGTGATGCTGCTGCAAGCAGCCCCTCTGACCCAGGCGGTTGCATCTCAGACGGCATCCGGACGTATTCGGGCACTGGCCCGTATACCTTGCTTGAAGGATTGTGATGGCGTCTCAGACTAATAATAACCATTTGCCGAGGAAAACAACCGCTCATAGCTCGTCACATATGTGGCTTGCATGGGCAGGGCATTCAGAGCACATCTTTTCATGCCGACTTGTTCCTGTTGTCTTGGCATAATCCGCACAGCCAGCCACACAACACACGTATTGTCGCAGGATGATCAAGGGAAAGTTGGTCTCGCCAGGAGGTCTAATCTCGCGGCAAGGTCGGCAAAACAGGCGCGGCATGTAAGACTACCTTGCATGTCGTAAACAGCGCCTGATATTTATTCGTCCTTGCGTTGCCGAGCGCCACACATACAAACACGCATACACACTTGTTTTCCCCTCGCCCTCCATCTAATCCTGCGTTCTGCAAGCCACTTTCATTTCATTTGGATCCTTCGGTAAGGCACTCACAGCATTTCCGAGGGTGGGGGAGTGCACATAATCATAGTAGTGATGGCGATGGAAAGTGAAGGGGGGAGGGGAGGCACCGTTGTTGGGTGTTATTGTCGCATGCGCCATCATGGGAGTGGGTAGCACTCCAAGCCTGTGTTTTCTCTTTCCCCGGAGACTTTTTTTCTTCGATCTTGTCCTGGAGCTCTTGTAAGCCAATGATGTGCTTTGTTGGCCGTTCCTTTCCCCGAGGCTGCAGCCTGATTTTGCACAGACAGCCAGCTGGCAAAACGCCGCCAAGGATGTGGCCCTTTCGATTGACATGTGCGAGCGAGGCTCCCACTAGAACATGAAAAGATTCCTCTTCGGGGCGACATGTAATTTTCCATTGTTCTTCAGCTCGCCCACGTTGTAAGCGCCCGCACAAGAAGATCTCGGCATCCGCCACATGCACACCATGTTCTGCCGCCTGCAGCCCGCCAAGGATTTACATGAAGCAGGCTACGGCGCTGACTACCATCGGTTACCGATAGTCTGGTTTGCCTAGTCGAAGCCCGACGTGGCGCCCCCGGGGGGGCAGCCCGGCGGAGAGTTCGGAGCCGCTGCCAACAACCGGCCTTGGACTGCCATTCGCTATACCCAAGCCCTCCAACTCACAGCCACAAATATACACTGCATTAGCGCATCTGTCAGAGTGAGAATTGGTCAACACAAGGCACTGGCGCGCCTCCGTGGTATTCGCTTCTGGCTCAGCTTCTGGCTGGGCAGGCTGATAGGATCCCTCGTGGGATATGGGCGGCGTTCTGTGCTCGTTTGCCGTTCGTGCCAGCTAATTCGCTGTGCAGTCAATCAGGCAGCGCAGCATATTACCCTCTTCTGGCCAGCTGCGGTCATATGAGGCTATGCTATGAATAACGAAAATGAAGGTGATATTTCTCATGAGTCGTATTCGGTACGCATCTGCGGGCCTCGTCATGGTGAGACCTTACGAGTCCTGAGTAGGGAAGCGTCGAGAATGGGGAGAAGGCATATGCGGCAGGGTAGAAATTAGTTGCAAGTGATGATAGCTGTACTGCTGTATATTGCGGGACGGTATACATCCCTTGGAGATTGTCATCTTGTAGCGACAACATGCCAGCACATGGAACTAACAACTTCGCAAAAAGTCGAAAGACGGCTGTCGTGGTCTTGGATGGGAAACGCAACTGCGGTTGAGATTAGCAAATGACGCAGAATGCTGTGGCTATAGCGAACGAGCCTGTGGACATGTGCCTTGGGTGCTGCCTCATAGACCTGCGTGGACTGATGTCGCATCAAGTAGGCTTACGTCGCTCCCTCCAAATGCGGAAGTTCACAAAAGATGGTGAACAGCAACGTCACATCAAGTGCATTGGGCCGCAGCGTAAGAGGGTATTCTTCACCGCCTCGCCTCGGTCTTGTTCTTGTTGCCGCGGGGCTCTTGCCTTGCTGCCGTACATTGTTGCGCTTGGCACGAGGCCAACAAGGCGTCACTGGCGCAAGCACCCCGCCGAAAATGGTCACGCTTGTCGAGAGGGCCTCTCTCTCTGGCTGCATGAGACCTATGCTGCAGCCGTGCTGCACCAAGGCGTGGATGGTGCGGTCGTCCGAGTCGTTCGTGAACTTTGGGGTGGCGGCGGGGTTCCTCGGTGCATCCTGGTCCCTCGGTGTCCCTCCGGCCCACGAGTGGGAGAATGGGAATTCATCATCATTGGCCCTGATAAACGGGTGGTGAATAAATGGCGGTCTTGCCACGTCGCGGTGCGGCTTTGACGAGGGTTCGAGTCATGCTTGATAGTGAAAAGCGGTGGGACGGTCGATTAATACATGGTAGGAGAGCACCGGTCAAGGCGGCTTATAGTTGTAGATGTAGAGAATATGTCCCTTTCGAGAGATTTGTTGAGAAGGGTCGTCCAAACCACGGGCCGTTTGCGCTGATGTGGCAGGCATGGCGCAGTATCAAAATCAAATTAGGCACTCCGGAGACTTTGTGGCCGGCAGTTCCAAACATGGAAACTCCGATCCGTAAGTTGAGAAGCGAAGCTTCAAAGTACGAAGCTGTGTACTGGATAAGTACTGGTGGTAAGTAGTAGGGAGGGAGGGATGGATGGAGGGAGGCACTCACTCGGTTGAGAGAATGGGGCAGCTCGATGGCAATGCCGAGTCCCACCAGCACTGAAATCGCAGCTAGTTCTATGGGAAGCATTCTAGTATGCCATTGGCTAGTCCGCCTGAGGAATTAATATGCTCATATTACAGTCGGAAATCTTGTATAGATCTATTCTGCGACAATCTCCCCCGTTTGCTCCCAACAGTTACTTGTGTTGATGGAATCCACTAGAAGGAACCCTTGGCCTCCTCGCGCTTGCGTGCATCAACCAAGTACGTATAGAAGACGATGTTATACAAGTTATTCGGACCGACGGTATGACCAAATCTTTTGGGTACAGCCAAGGCGGCAAACCTGGTCAGCTCGACCGTAGCAATGCCATTCTACAGGCCACTCTCTTGTACAGATACAAATAAGCTATCGCGAATCCGACGCGGTTACTCTGGCAGTGGACCACAGCCCCAGGGCCTTTTGTGACAAGGCGTGTACATGGAAGATGGAGCAGTTCAGCTATGGAGACGAACAACTGTCATGTCGTGTTCGGGGACCTCTGGCCAACCGGGTGAGCTGTTTCTGGTGGCATTTGGCGCTCGTGGGGGGTCACTGACAGCGGGCCAGGAAGCCGTAAAGGATGGTGTCCATGCATGTTCTCTGAAAGTGCTGGTAACCAAGGCGAAATAATTCACCAAATGCAGCCGACGGTTGTCTTCTCCGGGGACACCGATGGTCCCGCACAAACCACCAACGCTGCCCTTGTCGCCAGGATGCGGGACATTTCTTGCTTGCAATCTGGGTTAAATACGTTCTGCAAGGCAAAGGAAGAGGAGCGTTCAACAACGACCGCAGCAACAGAATCAGTCTGATGCAGCGCGCGGCTAAGCAGGTGGCCAATTCATGGGCCAGCAATCAGACGTGCCTCGAGCAACGCAGAGGGGAGCCGCCCAGTGTCTTACGAGGGGGTGAAGGAGGGAGGGACAGGTTTTGACACTGCATAATGCGTGGAGACTTGTTGCAGCGAGCGCTTACAGAGAGTGCATCACGGCAAAGCTGCCGGGCGGCTGACGAGGAGCCATCCATAGATGGAACAAACCGGCAGGATTAACCGCTGTCGAGTCGTGGGGTCCAACAAGCGGCATAACGATGGGCGAGAAACATGCAAAGGATCTAGAGAAGAAGCAGGGAGATGATGGACGCTGCAGAAGCATACAAACGCCACTCACTGATGATGGGCTCGAACTGCAGTCTGCACGCACGCCCCTCCACCTTGCCCTGTTGACTGGCGACTTACATGACCGTTGCACGGTGCACCCCACGTACGCCCGCTGTAAATGAATGGCGATACTTTTGTACTGTCAATGGAACTCGCAGGTCGACGGGCAATACAGCAGTATAATGATAGGCCAGACTGGCAATACTTTGCATGTGGCGGCGTTGTTAGACGCCTCTTCTGTAACGACTGTGTGGAGTGGAACAAACAGCAGCCATGAGTTCTGGATTCAGTGCTAGGAGCAGGTATTGGTGAGAAGACGGGTACACGTGGCCCTCTGTTATCTCGGTTGTTTCTAACTACAGTAGTTAAAAACAGACGCCAAAAACGGCTGTTTTAACGTCTCAGGCTCCTCGGCTTCAATTCGCCGAAGCAGCGAGCAAGACCCTGCGGTAAACAAAAGCGCACGAGGCACGAGGCTGGCAGCTAGTGGCATTTGCCAAGGACCAGGGGCGGGGGAGATGGCAGCGGCATTGTTGATTGATTGACAGGTAAAATGAGGGCGAGGCCCAGGGTGACATAGGAGGAGGAGGAAATTTTTCATCTCGCTCTCGCAACTCCAGGAAGAAGTGGGTTGGGCGCTGCGAGCCGCTCGCGAAAAAGAAAAAGAAAAAAAAATGGCGGCATATGACTTTGGTTGAGGCTGACTCTTGGACTCTTCTATACTGATCTCTAGCTCCGGCACATACTACTAGTACCGGATAAGCTACTCCGAAGACTATTAACTGGCATGAACCGACTATAGAATTGTAACTAGTGTCCGAGACCCAATTGTCCCGGTTGATATTGGCCTGGAGTAGATAGCGGAACAAATGTCATCGAGCGGCCAGCAGAAGGCAGAGAGAAGCGAGGCTTGGGTAGTGCGGGATGGACGGGCACTAGCAGCGCCTACCCGGAGCCGTCCGTCGACAACGGATGGAGAGGAAGAGACATCTTCATCTTGAGGCGTCTAGGCCAACAAGGCGTGACGACCGGGGGGACAACTGCACGCACTTTGACCACCACCACCACCACCACCACCACCACCACCACCACCACAGTCTTGGAACGAGCCTCGAGTCGTGGCCACCGCGCCCAGGCCGGCCGGCGGAGGGTGACCGACCCGGCTGTCAGAATGTGGCGCAGGCAGATGTGATGTTATGAGAGACAGGGTTGGTGGGGGGAGGACCGGCCGGCGGCCGAGGGAGCTTTGAGGTCTGCGATGGGTTAAGAGGAAGCGAGAGAAGAGGAATGGAACCTTCTTTCGGTGGGGGGCGCAAATGATGGGCGCATTATTTGGTGATAGTTATGTGATTGATTGATAGTGGGCGCGCCCCCTTTTCCAACAAGTGGCTACCAGGGGGATTTTCACCGTTTGTTCTAGCCCTATTCTTTTCCATCGCCGCTTATCAACTCGATACGAAATGATAACTTGGCTAAACTCGTTATTCCATTTCTGAGGTTGCAGGGGCTCTGGATTGGCCGAGCGAGTCAAGACTTCGGACTTGTACAACTTGGTGGCGTTGTCAATACTGAAGCAACTAATAATTACTGGTTACCAGTATCATTCTGTGCAGAGTACTCGGTACATGAAGCTGTGTAAGCGTCACTGTTTATTCTCGGTGTGTCTGCCTTGTGATTTGACAGCAGCCCGCCCCTCCCCCTCCCCCCTTCCTATCCCTAGCCTTGCGCCTCCTTTCGAGGCTGCATTGGCCAGCTCTGTAATTCGTGTTGTAATTTGTGCGGATGGTGTACTTATTTATACGCAGTCGCCCGGCTGCAGCGATGATCCATGGCCGGGATTGCCCACCTTGGGCACTTTTTGTAATGGGGTCGTCTCCGTCTCCAATGCTCCATCAGTTTAGCTGCCCAGTCTCGTAGGGCCAGAACAGGCCAGGACAAACAGAAAGCCGTCTTTTGAACCTGCAAGGGTCTCGGAAATTTATCTGTTTCCGAGTCTATGTAGATAAGGCATCTATTCCATTCTCAGATTCCTTTTTCCGGACCTCCCAATTTCACGTAACCCAAGTCCACCCGTAGCTGCACCTAGGGCCTAGGGCGACGTTGGGGGCTCGCCAACTCGGCATGCATGCAGCAATCAAGCACAGGGTGCATCGCCTTCATCTGTTCTATTTTCTTCTCCCATCGTTGTTGTTGTCGTTGACTTCACTAGCTGAAACCTAGTTTAGTTTTACTCCAGTCTGCTAAACCATCCCACCAATACGATGGGCGTGGCCGCTACTGCAGGCGTTTTTAGTATTCGCGCCGTTCTGGTGTCCAACGGCGGCTACTCTAGTACAAGGGCAATCCGTACATAACACAGCATGTAGCTGGTCTTGACGTTGGGCAGAGTTTGTGTGAGACCTTTTACAAAGCCTACAATACTGTCTGTTATGATACACTGGTGTACTGTTGTATGCCCCTTCTGTACCTCTTCTGTGCTGCTTCTGTGCCACACCACTGACCTGACTGTATTTTCCGCCCCCAAAAAGCCCTCAACTAGATGAGGGGGTGGATGCAAGGAAGCCAGGGAAGAAGGGCGGCGTTCTCCCATGTTCGTTCTCCCATATTCGCTATATCATAATGCCAGCATTGATATTGTTGATTGGTTCGGGGCCTAGTTTCGTTTCGTTTCACGGTCAAACGTATGGAATATATGAGTCTTGGGGAAGGACGACAGATGTTGATTATTACGAAAGTAGTGATTTCGCTGTAGACTCTGTTGAACCTTGCCCTGGCAGAGAGAGAGAGAGAGAGAGAGAGAGAGAGAGAGAAAGAGAGAGAGAAAGAGAGAGAGGGAGAGAGAGGGAGAGAGATAGCTCCCGCTGTTGTGTGACGCTTGGCACATGGAGATGGGTGCCAGGTGCCACGCCGCCATGCAACTAACTGACTGTACAGTTGGCCAACAGGGCAAGCAATGCTGTGTACTGTACTCTATAATCGGTAGAGAAAAAGAAAAATGATTGTGATTGCTTGTCAATGCAGGCACGCACTGCAGAAGGATCCCCACGTGGGAAGAGGACTCTGCGGCTTGTCGTCTTGTCCTTGGGTCCTCCATCGCCAGCCAGCGCCAGTAATACAGTACCTAAAAGCCTCCAATCCCACTAACCAACCGCCTGTAAGCCAATGCCCCCGGTACGGTACGCCTACACCCAGTACGCCTACACCCAGTATGCCTACACCCAGTACGCCCACCCCCCTTGTCTCTCATCACATCCATCGCTTCCCCTCGTCTGCCCACAGTGCTCCAGGTGCTTCCCACCTCCCGGCCACTTGCCTCTTTGCAGACAGCTGATTACTGACCTAACTAGTACCCGGAGGTAGTAAGTACGTACTGAACGGCCGCCTGTCCTACAACTGGCCGGGCCGCCCACGCGCCACAAACTCCCCAACGATTCTTTCTACCAGCAGTACTCGGCGCTAGGCCAAAACCTCCAACGCCGCCGTCGGCCAAAAGTTATGGGAACGAAACCGACCAGCCTGTCTTGACTGCTTTGGGAGGGTTGGTTTCTCGTTTGCATATTCATCTTTTTTTTTTTTTTTTTCGTATTAGCTCGAAGCAAAGTCTGCCTACCTGCCTAGCCGGCGTGCCTGCCAAGATCAACGACCCGGTAGCCTCGCCGTTTGTCGTTCGTACCTTCCTTGTCCAGTCTCTCGCTACATGACGTCGTCACCCCCCTTGAATCCAAGTACCAGCGGCTCTTTATTCCTTGCTTCATTCCCAATATTGGGGGCTGCTCATGTCGCTCGCGCGCGTACATTGCCAGCCGCATAACGACTGTTAACTAATACCCAGTTACAGGGTCGAGTCGCCAGGCTCTCGTCCTCCTCCGTCCGTCCCTCCAGCTCAGGCCAAGCCCAGGCCAGACCAGGTCAGCCCAGGTAGAACCACAGAACCACAGGCAGCCAGGGCTTGTTTGGGGTCTCAGGTCTCACACAAACTTGTCAGTCCGTCAGTCCGAATCGCCTGTCTACTACACTACTGGTACTGGTACTGCCACTGCTACTGCTACTGCTACTGCTACTGCTACTGCTATTGCTACTGCTACTGCTACTGCTATCAATCACTGTAGCCAGTATTTAGCCGCCGGAAGCGAAATCAAGAGACAAGGAAGCTCTCGCCTTCCTATAACGTCGCCAAATACCCGCCCTGCTCCCAGATGAGGCTGCAGCAAGGCACAAGCCAATTATTATAACTCATGCATTCATCTCATCATGGTAAGTACGTTCAAGACCCTGTCGCCCGCGCTTCCTTCCTTCCATCCATATCCTCTCCTCTCTACTATTGCCTTGCCTTACCTTGCCTTGCCTTGCCTTTGATGGCCCCCAATCCGTCAACGCCCAACATCTACCATGCTATACTATACCATGCCATACCATGCCCCTTCCTTCATATCCGGCCTCTCTCCTTCCCAGCGCCTCTTCATGCTAGGCGGTTGTGGGGGACCTCGTCAAACCCACTCTCCAAGACAGCGAAGCCAGGCCGCCGCATCAAGCGGCCAGGCAGAGGCCGCAGGCACTCAAGACAGGCAGACAGACGGGCAGACAGACGGGCAGAAATACCAAGAGACCGAAACTGCTGGCCGCAGGGGACCAGGCCGGCCACCCTTGTCCCTGAGATGCGCGGCTTCAGAGCCAAACAGAACGAGCATAACAACAACAAAAACAAAGACAACACACACATACGCATGATACATACGCGAACACACATACACACACATACACGCCTACACGCACGCACATATACACAGACATGCAGAGAGAGACACATCCATCCATCCATCCACATACGCCATGGCTCCACGCTCACAGCCGTCTTGGGCAACCTACCATGCCTAAAACTGCGTCTTAGTACCCAGGTAGGTAGGTAGTACTTGAATTGCCCAAGTCGGGCCTACTGGGCTGAGTTGGATTACTATGCTGACCGGCTAAGGCCGGATATGCCTGCCTGACGGCATTCACACCTCTCACACCATGCTTACTCGTTACTTGTCTGTCATCTGGCTGTCTGCGTGTCCGTCCATCTTACATTCATCAATCAGTACAACAGACACCACCCACACGCGGCAAACTCTACACATTAACCACACCACCACTACCAACAGCATCCGTAACCCTGTACATGTCTGGTCTGTACATCTGTCTGGTCTGTACATCTGTCCGGTCTGTACATCTGTCCGGTCTGTACATCTGTCTGTCTGTACACCTGTCTGTCTGTACACCTGTCTGTCTGTACACCTGTCTATCTGTACATCTGTCTGTCTGCCTATCTGTTTGTCTGGGTTGGATTCGAGGCCAGATATCCCCCCCCCCCTGTCCACCTTCCCACCTTCCCGCCGACGCCCTACCAGCTCGCTTTTGGTTCTCCTCGTTAGCGCCGCTTGATCCTGTCTCTCTCTGGTCGTTGTCTTTGCTTGTCTCTAGCCTTGCTTGCTTGCTTGCTACTGAGAGAGATATCGACCCAATAAAAACAGGAAAAAAAAACAAAGGAGGACATGGTTGAGTATTAAGACTACATCACCATCCCCATTACCTCTCTCTCTGTCTTTTCCTTCCTTCTTCCCTTGACCAACCTCGCCTCAGTCGTCTTGCCTTGCCTGGCCTTGCCTTGTCTTACCCACCTTCCCTACTGGATTCAACTCGCACCTGCTCTTGCCCTGTGTTAACACCAAACCACGTCCCACCACACCAGCTTCATGACATGACCTTGGCCTCTTCGTTTCTTCTTGTCCCTCGTCCCGGCTCTTGATGCCACTTTATCTGCAGTCTCTACCGTCTTGTTTCAGTACCGGGGCTTGTTGGCTCCTGCATGCATTTTTGCTCATCGCACTTGGCATTGTATCCCCTGCCTTGCCTTGCCGTCAGCTTTCCTACACATGTCCACGTCCACGTCTACATCCACGCCTACATCCACGTCTACTACATCTCTCATACGTTTTCCTCATTCAGCAAGCATACCGACAACAATCGCCCACCGCTCACTCGCCCACTTGACGTCTTCGATTCGAACCAGTCAATAGCAAGACTATTATATTTGGCTGCCTGCCGACTCTCCTTGTCAAAAAATAGCCGTCGTCGTCTCACCGGCCGCCTGTGCAATTTCTATAACGCTGGACTGCCGCTGGTGGCCTGTTTGGTGTGTCACCAAGACTCAGACGACGACTGCCCAGCCGGGTAACGTCATTAACGTTGTGTCCGTCGACACTTGATTTGGAGAGGTATCAGCTCCAGGTTACCTCGCATCCGGTAGCACGTCAAGCACCAAGCTCTCGGGCGACAAAAGTAGCCCCGTGGTGACTATTTAAGCAGACTCTTCCCCTTGTTGTTGACTATCATCAGCAGCAGCAGCCGACTCTTCTTCTTCTGCTTCTTCACCATCACCACAAACCATCACCATCACCATCACCATCAACGTCCAGTCCCCAGAGGCACTCCATCTTGAGACGGCAAAGAAAGGAAGAAAGTGGGTGGGTGCATATGCGGGTGCATTGGTGCAGTGCAGCAGCCCAACTTGTCAAGTCCGAAAATCTCCACCGCCACATTGCCCCAGGGCCCTCAGCGAGGACACTTCTGTAAGTACTGTAATAGCGGCGTCTGATGAGTTCACTTCAGCCCATCCTCATTCCCTGCCTGCCCTTGCTGTCTTCTCCTGTCCTTTCGTCCTCATTGGCCCACTATCACTTCCCGCGCGCCTCGACTGCCCTTCCGGATTCCCAACTCTCGTCTGCTCTCACTCTTACACTCACTCACTCTCACCCTACGCCATCACCGGTCATCCTCTTCACCTACCTTGCCGCGCCGAGCTGCTCCATATCCTTGCCTGGCCTGCACTCCTGCACTTCACCCTCCCGATAGCTCTCTCAACACCATCCTCTCCAGGCCCTTCGACCCGCAGGCTCCTTCCAGTCTACAGTCGCGGCCTCGATTTGACCCAGACAAGGCTCTCCAGTCTCACCCTACATGGTGCTTCTGCCGCGGTCCCTTGGCCGTCATAGTGTTGCCACTATTCCTCTCTTTGCAGAGCAGATGCCTTCTGAGGCGTCTCCAGCCCACTTTCCCTTGCCGCGGTCAGGTCCCTAACACTTCGTTGTGTTATTCTCTCAAGGAGAGAGCCTGTGGTTCGTTCGGCCACGTGCCTCATTCCGGGATCATTACAGTCTTGACTCGTCTCGAACACTACGGCGTCCTCCATTGGGCTTGTGGGGTTGGCGGTTCCTCCGTTGCAAAAACTGTTTTAACTCTTGTCGTTGTTCCAACTAGGAATCTTTTCCGATTACCTGATTGATACTCATTTTTGTGGTAGCACACCTTCTGACCGTTGCCAGTTAGCCCATTTCATTCTTGTTGAGAGATATACTTGTCAAGAAACGACGAATAAAAGGCTACCATGCCACAAGAAAGCCAGTTAGTTCCTTGTGTCGATTGCATTTCCGATTGCCGAAAGCACCTCAAGTCTAACTGATCTGCAGAGAAGTGCCCAGGCCTGCGCCGCAGCCTGAATCTACTGAGCCGCAGGATGAATCTACTGCGCCGCAGGGTAGATCTAAGACATTAAAAGAGGTCTTCTACAAGTACGGACGATACTACGGAAGTGTCAAACCCGAAAAATACAAATTTCCCATCGACGAGGTATGAAAATATGAACCGACCCGTGGAACAGCAGCAATAGTCGCATGTATCTAATTCTCAAACCACAGGAAGAAATGGCTCGCTATGACCTGTTCAACAAAATTTTCCTCATGGCTCGCAACGACGCTATTTTTTCATATCCCATGCAAAGTTTGAGCCCCCGAGTGATGGATCTCGGCGGCGGAACTGGTATCTGGTCCATTCTTCTGTCGGACAAGTATGCACCAGTGTGATGAGACTCGCTTCTAGTACTGACAGTTTGCGTGTAGCTACTTGCCAAATGCAACGATCCAATCCGTCGACCTCCACAGAGTCCAGCCACCCGAGTATGCTAGAATTGCCGGCCACTCATGCCTATTTTCTGTCAGCTAACTTGAAGCTAGAATTCCCCCCAACGTAACAATGACCACGGCCGATATCGAAGAACCCTCGTGGGAGACGCTATTCACAGACTGTGATTTGATACACATGAGATTGATGTTAGGCGCTATCCATAACCCCGCATGGCCCCATATCTATCGGAAAGCATTTGAGTATGTTCTGTCCTGTCCCGTGGTTAAGCTGGCGCTGGAGAGGCTGACTTGAACAGGCACACGACCCCTGGCGGCTATATTGAACAGGTTGAAATTGATTGGCTGCCCGTAGTGGATGGCCTCAACACCCCGGTGCACCTTTTGAAATGGGCCACCGATTTCCTGGACGCCATGGACAACTTTCAACAAAGCGCGAGAGTGAACTCTGAGCGTGTGAGAGCCATGATGGAGGCAGCTGGCTACGTCAACTTTCAGGACCGCACTATTCGCCTCTATCTTAATCCGTCGACTGCCAATCCTGACGTAAACTATCTCGCCCGCTGGTTCAACGCATGCCTAGTTTCAGGGTTGCATGCGATGAGCCTGACACCCATGATTGAGGGGTTAGGCAAAACGATTGACGAAGTCAAGGCGCTTTGCAAAAAAGCAGAAGATGATACCCTCGTTCTAGAGAAGCGCGTGTATTGTGTCATGTAAGTTGTGCTGTTGGTTGGCAATATGCTATCGTTGAGTGGAAGACTAACTGCTTGCCCTGCATGGTCAGGCACATCTGGACGGCAACAAGGCCGACGCACTAAAGTGCAATTTTGATACATCAAGTCGAGGCTACGGGACTCTTGGTTTCGGCGGAATTACTCGGAGAGGACTAGAGGGGTCGCCTTGGCATCATTGGGTCGTGTTATTTTGGTAGGGGGATTATCCAGTTGCGTTATGCAGGGCAAGAGCGGTCAGCCGGCACGCCTTTGCCTGGACGCAGCGAGATGGAGATAACGGGTATTCTTTACTTTCTTGCTAGCTTCATTTCTAATACAGTGGCTTTTTTAATGCGATGGATGATAGCTCGAAAACCGACCTGTACTTGCTTCCTCCACCGGTACTACTACGACGAGTTGTGCAGCTGACTGGCTCTACAACGCGTATCAGGCAAATACAGAGGTAATAGGTGACGACGGCGCTGCTGTAAGGCTGCTGAATGGTGCTGAAGGGTGCCGCAGTGCTGCCCATGAATCAAGGAATGGTTTGCTTTTGTGGATGCGACACCGTGGCCATTCTTATTGGTTGTCGAGGAGCGTAGGTTTCGGCATGGCCAGCCTGTCATTGGCTGTACCAGACTGTCGGGTCGGCCCCATGGGGCTCATCATACAGTACACCACCCGAGCCCCGTCATGGGTCCTGCTGCGAGGACGTCAAATCGACGATGAAGTCGCTCTAACCGTCTAGACTTCAGCAAAAACCCTGTCCGATGAGGTAGGATGAAACTGTACACGTTGATGGATGGACCGACTGCTCGGAGGCGGGGGCGGTGGATGACGAGGAGGACAAGGGAGGGGGAGACTCACGCGTGGGCTGCGTGATGGGGAGAGAGATAAGGAGATTGCGTGTTAAACAGCGTGTGTAAATGATGGACAGAGTGGATGGATGAGATGAGGAGCGTATTGGGGGACTTGGACAGGCCTCATCGGGCCTGGTCTGAGGAGGGCCTTCATGACGGGGGTGGGGGGGAAGGCAGAAGGAGACCTGGTAGAGCGGGTGGTAGGTTTGAATTTCAGCACGTGCTCCTTCGTTTCTGGGACGTTTTGAGGGTTGCGCTCGATGCAGCGCAGGAAAACACACACTCGAATATCGGGTGGTGGCAGAGTCTCTGCATGCCGAGCGCTGCTGGGCGGCGGCCGAGGATGAGGGTGGTTTGAGCGGGAGCAAATGTTGGGGAACGCGGCAACAAGTCAACGCCCAGCAGAGAGAGAGAGAGAGAGAGAGAGAGAGCTGCGCAATTCTACGACGTGGCTGGAGTTGTTCAACATCTCATGATGGAACTTGGTAAGAAAGGACAAAAAGCTCTCGACAGAGCCGGATGCCTCCAGACAAGTACAAACTCCACTCACAAGAACATTACTCACTCCGCACAACATTTTACAACCAAGACTTGCACACCATCACTGTGAATTCACGGCCAAACACCTTCTTTTTTCTCTCAAGTCTGTTGTATTTGGTAGCCGTGTCCCAGACTCTATGTCGTTGCCTTTTCTTCTGCTCCGAGGTTGGCTTCCAGCTATGCCGTCTGATGTACAATGAGGTTTCTTGTGATACAAAGGAAAAGAGGTAAAATGTAAAAAACAGGGATCCCGGAGAGGCGGCCAGGTGAACGAGTGCCTTGCGCCGCCTCTCCTCTATCCGGGGTTCCCGCCAACAAAAGTCGTCCCATCCATCCATCCATCCATCCGTCCGTCCGTCCTCTGACTTTTTCGGTTCTATTCTTCGCGAAATTCGTTCCAATCCAGACACGGCGGAAAACAAAGGCGACCAAACTACTTCAATACCAAGGCCGAGGGAAGCAAAGCTACCAATCTTGATGGACAACATTCCTCGACTTCAGCGCTTGGTCGTGCCGTCCATCCAGAAAAGTCTATGGCTGCGAGGTATGTTCGTCCGCGTTCTTCGTTCTTCTTTCTTTAGTGGTGGGCGGCGACCTCGCCGTGGTAGCCGACGAGCTTGAAGCGGCCGACCATCTCGCCGACGGTGAAGAAGCCGAGGCACTCGGCCAGGACGACGCCGCCGGCGACGAGCTGGGCGGCGCCGAGGCCGCGGACCTGCTGGATGATGCTCTGAGGCGAGACGGAGCGGGTGCGCAGCCGCGTCCAGAGGTTCTGGTAGGTGGTCTGGAAGGTGGCCATGGAGCTGCGCAGGATGTGTGGTTAGAATCGCCCCCATTGACCTCGTTGGCTTGTCTTTTTTCTGGCTGGAGGGGAGAAGGACTTACGGAGGGACCATCTTTTGGCCGTGGAAGACGAGCTTGGACAGCTCAAGGCCGACCTTGCCGTAGTAGGTGACGAACGGAGTCTGGGCTGTGGCGGAGTGTTAGCCGGTCGCTTCTGGCCGGGCGGCAATTCGAGAGAGGGGGG